AGCATAAAGATATTTAAATTTTAATAATCAATAATTTTACAAAATATAAAAATAAAATTATTGTCATCTAGAATATATGGTTTGCCATTAAGACACATAAATGCATTAATCATTTTACGTAAAGATTTAAAATAAAAAACAATTTCGTTTGTCCTATTATCACGTACATAAGAAAATTCTTTAGATATTCCCATTTCTTTTAACATATTATCAATAATAACGTGTTGAGGTATATCATAAGTTTTAAAACAAAACATTATTTTGATGAGAAAATATTTTTTATCATATAACTCTTTTATTTGTATATATATATACTCTTTTATTTTTTTATATATATATATTTTTTTTACCTTTTTATAAATTTGTAAATTTGGATAAAATTTTGACTATCGAAAAGTCAAAAAATTTTATTTTGTCCTTTTATCATCTCCAATATCGAACGACGAATTTGATAAGTAATTCATTTACTTTTTATTCTTAACAAAAGAATTCAAGGTAAGGATATTTTTTAAATTTTTTTTTAAAACTTTTATCATTTAAATTTAATTTAAAACGAAAAACGTACCACCGTAACCGGGGCACCATGTAAATAATAATTGTAAAGACTTATTTTAACTATTTTTATTACTATATTTTTCATCTAAAAACATTATATATATATAAAATTTTCAAGTTAATTGAACAACTTAAATACAAAATAAATAATATTCAAATTTAAATCAATCAACATATAAAATAAATAATATTCAAATTTAAATCAATCAACAAATAGAGAACTCTTAGCCATACATACAGCGTCTACATAAAGGGAAGGGGGCAGGGTAAGGGCTTTTAGCTTATAATTTTTTTAGTAGAAGGATAAAGGTGTTTTCGGATATATTTATATTCAAGAAGATATGCATGAATTATCCCGATTTCCATATCTTTTATATTGACTTTAGATCCCACTACAATTTTTCGAATTTTGGGGTAAACTAAGTGAGTGATCCATCCGATAGTGATCTTTGTTCGTTCTAATCGATCATGAATATGTTAAAAATGTATAAATTAAATGTTTTAAACTCTAAAGTGATTGTATTATTATTTAATAATTATAGGGTCATCAAAAGTTATCTTTTACATTACAATTTTTTTTCAAAAAAATACATAAAAAAATTTCTAAAAAATATTAATCAATCATAAAAACAACTAGTTCCATATTAATATCAAAAAATTTAAAAAAAATACATAACAAAAAAAATAACATTAAAAAATAAAACAATATACCTCCGGAAAGAAACGACAATTATTTTATATCCAGTTTAATGGAAATGAGAATACCTAGTTTTAAGTGCATATACAAAATTGGACATATAGGCTATTATCATATATTTATTTTATTTAAATGCATTAAATAAATAATAATATTTATAAATATTGAAATCTTCTTAGAGTTTTATGCAATGAGGTTTTATGTCAAGTTGAGAATATATATATATAAATAGGGCCGAGGATAGGTGCAACCCAGTTGCAAATATATTTGATGCTATTGACAATCTTTTAGATGACAAATATAATCACGGATAGTTGCATCCTAATTTCAAATATAAATAAAGATAATGACAAAAAATATGCTAATTTTTAACGTGGGAAAATTTAATAAAATTTTAAAATGAATAATAAAAATTAATAATATATAACACCTTATGAATTGGGATCTAACTAAAATTCTTCTATGAATTCCTTATAATATCAAATCTTCTAATTACTTTTTATCTTTAAATAATAGATACATACCTAAAAGTGTTTCATTGTTTAAAATAAATAGCTGATATTATTCTAATAAAAATATGATCCTTCACATATAATTTCAAATTTTTCCTACATTTATTTTATTTGGGATCTAAATTCTTCCTTATATCAAATCTTCAGTAGATTCTTTATTTTATTTTTAAAGATAGATACATACCTAAAAGTGTGTCAGGGTTAGCTGATATTATTCTAATAAAAATATGATACTTCACTTATAATTTCAAATTTTTCCTACATTTATATTATTTGGGATCTAAATTCTTCCTTATAGCAAATCTTCAGTAGATTCTTTATTTTATTTTTAAAGATAGATACATACCTAAAAGTGTGTCAGGGTTAGCTGATATTATTCTAATAAAAATATAGATTCATTTATAATTTCAAATTATTCCTACTCTTATATTACTCTAATTGTTTCAAGTTTTTTAGGCAAAAATTTTTGAAATTTGGCTTTAATAATAAATTAGAATTTAAAAAGTGCTCTAAAATTATATTTCAGTTAAATTAATGAAGATATAAGAAATTAAAAATACTATAAATAATTATTTAGGGTATAGTATAGGAAAAAGTGTTATTATCCTTCAAAAAAGCTTTATTTTGCTTTAATTCTAACATAAATCAAATGAAAAAAAGAGATCAAGTCAACAAATTCAATTGAAATTATTTTATTCATTCATTTACAACTGTAAATCTAATAAATACATAAATAATTATAATCATTTAATAATTAAAATATAGAATGCGAATAAAATTTCATTTACAACTGTAATACATTAATAATTATAATCATTTAAAAATTAAAATATAAAATGAGAATAAAAATAAATTTAACAATTTAAACAATACCAATAAGTTTTATATGGTTTTTTTTAAATTTTTTGACATTTAAAATGAAACCAGGACAAGCAAGAATCACATGATATGGAGGCATCATCATCTAAAGCAATATAACATTTTTGACAAATCCATGGCTCTGCCATAATCTTCTTATTTAATTCCAGAATCTTTTCCTACGCATCATTTGTGAAATAATATTTTATTATTTTAAAATCCACATCATCATTTTTTAAAGATTGCATATCATTTTTTTTGGTACTAATGTCATCAGAATTTAACAACTAATATTACAAACTTTATTGAATGAAGACTGTTTACATAATTTATTTATGATCCATTCAGCCTTTTTTTCTTTTGATAAAGTTGTAAAAGGTTTATATAACTTTTCTGAGAAAAATAAATACATTAATATTAATTTTTTTAAGTTACTATGAGTTGTCTGACAATTGCCCAAATTTTTTATTTGTGTATCACCTAATTTTAAATATTAAAATTGTGATATTTTTAAATAAAAATATAATATTTTTTATAGATTCATCACTAATTCTGATATCAAATTATTCAATATACAAGTTTGGCTCAAACAATTTAACTTCAATAATTCAGATTTATAAATGGATATATTTATAAAGTTTTCCTTTTCATAAATAGCTATTGAATTTTTTAAATTATCTATAGATTGAAATATAGCATTTTGATATAAAGCCATAGTGTGGTGATTTTATTTAAAATATCATAGTTTTATTTAAAAATATTAAATTACCTTGAATTTTATTAAAAATATTAATTTACCTTGAATTTTATTAAATTATTTGAGCCAAACTTGTATATTGAATAATTTGATATCAGAATCAGTGGTCAATCTATTTAAAATATCATATAATTTTATTTAAAAATATTATTTTACCATTTGAAATAATAATGGTTGAATTTGTATATGTTTGTAATTGGCGGGAAAAAAAGGGGGTTGCACGCATCCTTTGCGATATCCTGATTAACCTCTCGTTTGCAGATTTCATGGCACTTAGCAAAAACAAGAAACACCTAAAGGAACATTTACAATACATGCTAAAATATGGCCTAAATTAACATCGCAACCGTTTTTCACCTTTCTTGCAATAAATGGAACAAGTGTATTTGATAATGATAATAACCTGAACAACAACAACATAACCTAACTTCCTCTAATAACCCACAACCTTCCTTTCTGGACACACGATATCGGCGACGATAACGATAACAATTACGAAAATATTAGCTAACAGGCAATGGGAAGATAAACTGGCTATAATAATAACGCAATAAATCGGACGAACCCAAATACCATTGGCACAGAACATATAAGATCTATGGGACATACAACATCTTGGCACACCGAACAACAATCAAGGAAGAGACTCTACATGCAAGCTTAACATAAACTCTCAATACTTAACAGGATATAAGGGTTATTTTTTTGTTGGCTCACTAAATACCACTTAAGGACGCAGGTACATTTTTTTTTATATGACATTATTTTTTATTTTTTTCCTTAACACTATTCTGCCGGAAACGGAACTAATACATCACCATTATTGTACTTCTTCCTTCTTCACTTTGCTAACGGGCTACATAGTGGTACCGTCCACTATAATAAAACGGGTAGACATCATGTATGGGATCTATATACTAGTGAAAATACATGATGCACGCTTCAACTCCTGGTGGGTGATGAAATTGCACGGTGCAATTTCTGGCGTGGTAATGAATGAATGAATGAAGTAGCACAAAATATTTTCAATCGATAAATAAGCGTAATGATACAAAAGCACATAGTTGGCTAAAACGTTTAGGACACCGCCAAACTTTATCCGCCAATAAAAGGAAATGTTTAATATGATTGATATCGCTAGATAAAATTGAAAGCCCTTTTTATGCTTGTAGTTGCAACTTGCAACCTTAAACAATATTAAAATAATGGTTAAACCCGACCTGACTCAATACATTATATTAAGAAAAGATTTATTACAATTAAATTGGAATCTTGGATCTATAATTGCCCAAGCTTGTCATGCCTCTTCTGCTGCTCTTATAGTATTTATAAATGATAAAAATGTAATTGATTATACTGAGAATATCCAACATATGACTAAAGTGATTTTACAGGTTTTTAATAATAATTATTATATTTAAGATGTTGTCTAGATTGAAAATGAATCATTACTAAAAAATCTTTCTAATGATTTACACAAGCATAATATAGATCACAAACTATGGATAGAACAGCCTGAAAACATAATAACCTGTTTAGCTACTAAGCCTTATTCAAAAGATATACTTAGACCATATTTTAACACTTTAAAATTATACAAATAATAGCTATATTATAAGCCTTAGGTCTTGATATATCAATTTATCATGATTCAAGGTGACATACAGAAAATGATGCACCCGCATTATTTTTTAGATATATTATTATGCTCTTTGTTTTTTGTCACAAAGCATATATCACCTATTTGTAATTATTTTTATTCCTCTACTTCTTCAATTAAAAATAATTTTAATCCCTGCATAATGGATTGGAGAGAAAAAGAAATATTATTGTTTTTGGGAATTTGCATAACATTTAAAGTTAAAAGAGAAACTAATTATATATCAGCTTTTAAAACTATAACACGCTTTATAAAAATAGCATCTATTGCATTACTAATAAGATCAGGTCCATCTGCAATTGTATTAACAGCTATATATATAATAACCTGTGTTTGCCAATTTCTATATATGCCACAACCTGCTATAAATTTAAATAAAAGAAACAACAATATTCCCTTTGTATTTGAACCTGCTGATTTAAGGATAGAAATGGAAAATTTAAAATCAAATTTATTGAAACCATCTGGTATTATTTTTATATTTATTAATAATAGTTATTCATATAAGAGCTTAATATATTTTTTACATAATTAAGATATATATATATATATGTTATATAAAATAAATATATAATTAATGTTAATATTTACAAGTTCATCAGAATTCCCAATCAACAAATACAAAGGATACCATATGGGTCATATATTATTGGGCTTCATGGTCTCCAGAATGCAAAAAATTTTCACCTATATTTAATAAAATTGCAAATAAATATAGTATATCTGAATCAACATGTTTAAATTTTGGCACATTAGATGTCTCCAACATAAATGATGAGCTTCCTTTAGCTTACTTTGATATAGACTCAAGCAAAATATCTGAACAAATACCTAGTATTGTGCTTTATATAAATGGAGTGGAAAAGATTAGGAGACCTAGTTATGAGGATAATTATGGTACATAGCATTCATATCTCTTTTTTATACTGTTTTAATTTAATCATTATGAAGTAGAGGTCTGCAAAACCCAACCTACTGATATGTGATTTCGGTTGGAAAATAATAGATTATTTTTTTTGGATTGGATTGGTAATTTTTTATTCAGATAGGTTGGGTTAGGTTGGAAATATTTTTATTACAATTTTGAATTTAATCAAGTGTAAGTAAAATGTTTATTTTGCAATTTTGTTAATTTCATATTATTTCTTATTCAAAAAGGTAAATAGGTGCTAGGGCAAATATTTCAAGTTGGGTTAGGACAGTAACTTAAAAAAATATTTTTTTGTATGATGTCAGTTATTTTTTCAAAAGAAAACATAGAGGAGGGAGGGTCATGCGAGAAAATAATGATATACATCCTCTCAAAATGAACGGGAATGACTAAAATACGCGTCCCCGGTCAAAACGACTTATTTTTATTATTATTAATAGGAAATCTTATTAAGCTTTATAATATGAGTTAGAAAATGTTTTTTTTTAATTTAAAAAAAATACGGTAACTAAATAAAATTTATAAAAATTTATTTTTTTTAAAAAATAAACTACGCGTCCCCGGTCAAAATACAGTTTTTTTTAAAAAATAAAAACAGATTCATATTTAACTCATTAAAATAAAATATAATATGTAAATATTATATTTTAAAGTATTTTATAACTTAGTGATTTTTTGAAAAAACACTTTTTTTCAAAAACACTACGCGTCCCCGGTCAAAAAACCGTTTTTTTTAAAAAATAAAAGCAGATTCATGTTTAGCTTTTCAATGAGATTCAGAAAATGGTATTAATAAAAAAAATTTAAAAAAAAAAATTTTTTTTTTGGCTAAACTACGCGTCTCCGGTCAAAATACAGTTTTTTTTTAAAAATCAAAACAGATTCATATTTAGCTCATTAAATGGATACAGAAAATGTTTTTTATGATTTAAAAAAAAATGATAACTTAGTAAAATTTTTAAAAAATTATTTTTTTTAAATGAAAAACTACGCGTCCCCGGTCAAGATACATTTTTTTTAAAAAAATAAAAGCAGATTCATATTTAGCTCATTAAATGGATACAGAAAATGTTTTTTTTTATTTTAAAAAAAAGTAGTAACTTAGTAAAATTTTAAAAAAACACTTTTTTTTCATTTTTTGACTAAAATACGCGTCCCCGGTCAAGATAGATTATTTTTATAAAAATGAATATAGAATCGTGTATAGTTTTTCAAGGAGATTCCGAAAATGGTATTTATATTTTTTTGACTAAACTACGCGTCCCCGGTCAAGATACATTTTTTTTAAAAAAAATTTTATTAATACTATTTTTGGAATCTCTTTGAAAAACTATACACGATTCTATATTCATTTTTATAAAAATAATCTATCTTGACCAGGGACGCGTATTTTAGTCAAAAAATGAAGAAAAAAAGTTTTTTTTCAAAATTTTACTAAGTTACCACTTTTTTTTAAATAAAAAAAACATTTTCTATATCCATTTAATGAGCTAAATATGAATCTGCTTTTATTTTTTAAAAAAATTGTATCTTGACCGTGGACGCGTAGTTTTTTCATGTAAAAAATTAGTATTTTAAAAATTTTACTAAGTTACCACATTTTTTTTAAATCAAAAAAAACATTTTATGTGTCCATTTAATGAGCTAAATATGAATCTGCTTTTATTTTTTAAAAAATATGTATCTTGACCGGGGACGCGTAGTTTTTCATTTAAAAAAATAATTTTTCAAAAATTTTACAAGTTATCATTTTTTTTTAAAATCATAAAAAACATTTTTTAACTCATCTTATAAAGCTAAATAGGATTTTTTATTAATATTATTAAATTAAACCCGTTTGACCGGGGACGCGTATTTTAGTCATGCCTCTTGCTTCCAAAAATATATAAATAACTAGAAAATACCAATCTGCACATTTGTCAAAAAAATTTGTCTCTATTGCATGTCTACTACAGATATATTTACATTGTATTTAAATGACTATCATTTTTTGAAGTGCAATATAAATAATAAAATAGTTATTTTTGATTAGAAAAAATTTGCCTAGTAAAAAAAAGAATTTGTATGGCATTGGTTTTGATAAATTCTAAAACTATCATTAACAAGTTGAAGGTATCAGGCTTGTTATTAGATCCTTTTAAAATCAGTCATTTTTTTCTATAATTACTTAATTGAAAGCTTATGAATAGTGCTATGAACTTTATTTCAAACAAGAAACGCGTTACTTGTTATGTTTGAAAAAAGGAACACATAGCCTCATTACCATATGAAAAGAACGTGTTAAACTGCATTCATAGTGGAGGGTGGCAATGACATATCAAAATTTAAAATAAAATGATTGCTATTTAGTATTCTAAGTAAACTTTTGCAAAGTGATTCAACAATCATGCAAATTTGTTGCATTAGACTTGGGGTTGGAAAATTACCGGGAATTTTATTGCGGTTATTTTCCCAAGAAATTATTTCGATTTTTTATACTATATTTTATTATATTTACATAACAGATTGTAAATAATAAATATAATAAGAATATACATTAAATGTTTAGTAAAATACATTTTCAAAACTCATAATGCAAATATCATCGGAATTTAAAATTTTAATTTCTGATGAACTATTTTCTTCCCAAATCTATTGTTTCTAGATTAAGTATATGAGGACAATTTGATACCAACATTTCTACTTTTTTCCTAAATTATTTGTTCGTTTAGAGTGTGTTTCCAAAAAATGACCATATATGTTCTGATGATGCACTAGTAGGTGGTATTGATAAAATTCTTTAGGCAATTGTAATTGATTGGGTTGTACAGAGCCATTTCCACCATGTTATTGGAGTAAAATATCCCACCCAGAGTTTCTATAAATACCATTTTTGACTCGATATTCACTGTTTCCAATAATCAAACAAATATCTGTTATCGTTATAAAATTTTAAAATCCGATCCGTTAAAGTGGTGTCTTAATTTAGAAAAAAAATGTTATTAATTTCATAATTTATTTGTTTATTACTTATTAGAGTCATTCCATTACAAATCAACAAGTGTATCGGGACTCTCTCAAAAATGAATGATACTTGGCTTGTTAGTTATTTATGCTGTAAATTTTATAGAGTTGGCTCAACTAGATCCAAAGATATATGCTTTCAAAGTCGAAAATCGCGCAATGTGTGATTTCATTAATCTTGTTTTTTTAAAAAAATACTTAAGATATTTTAAATTATATATCATTTTATGGCCCTTAAAATTCTACATTGGAAAATAACAAAAAAAATTTAAAAAATTCCAAGTGCACCGGTAAAAATGAAATATTGACATAGTTGAAAGGGAATTTTTTTGGGTGTATTTGCCTTCATATTTAACTGTTTAATTAAAAAACTCGATAGCTATTTTTGTTTTTTAAAGTTTTATTCATTTTATAAATAAAAATATGCATTATATTTAAAAATTATTATAATATAATATATTTAATAAAAATATGAATTGTATTGTAAAATAAAACAATATGATGTCCTAGGGCAATATGATTATTATTAGGACGCTAAATTATAAAATAAACATTTAAAAATTTTATTTACAAAATATTATATAAAAATATCTCTTATCTTTATCGTATTCCATTTTGCGGTTATTAATAGAATTCCCTGAGACCATAATTTGTAGGTATATCCTGTCGCTGTTGATCTACTATCGTTATTATTTGATGTCACTTGTTTGGTAAAAGGATATGGGGTCCATGGGTATGCAATAAATAAATTTTTTAGTACTGTGGCTAACCACAATATATTATGAACATATGTTTAGAAGAAAGACCGGTCCAGACCATTGTTCTAGATAAAAAACCGATCATATGTATTTAAGACGATATTTGGTGGTTAGCTAAAGTAATAAAAAAGATTAAAATTACTGAGGGATATATATTTCATTTTTGCATTCCCATGAACTATCACCATCCATCTTTTATCTCACAATTGAGGAAATGAGATTTAATGGGAAACATTTCCATATTTTTCAATTCGTTTATAAATAAAATTATTAACTTATTGATTAAAATATAAATGTTATTGTAACAATTTTTTGCAACTCAAATAATTTTATTTGCAAAAAAATTAAAAAATATGGAAATGTTTTCCATCAAATCTGCACAACACTGTAACGATACTAGATTCCACAACAGCACCAGGAGGCACTTACCAATTATAGCCTCAGGAAATTTTATTAATAAGCATAAAATGTAATACGATAAAAACAAGAGGTATTTTTTTATAATAGTTTGTATATAAAATTTTAATATACTTTACGATAAAGCCTCCTTAATCATGTATATATGGGCTATTTAATTACATGTCGCTCCAGGACATAGTTATTTTTTTATTTTATACCAATACAATATTTATATTGAATTTATTATATTATAATGAATTTTAAATATAACGCCAACTATATTATATATTTTTATTTATTAAAATGATAAAAATTTAAATAAAATTAAAAAAAACAAAAATGGCTATCGAGTTTTTTAATTAATGAGTTAAATATGAAATGAATAAACGTGCCTAGCAAATACACCAAAAAATTCCATCTCAACTATGTCAATATTTCATTTAAACTGGAAATAAGAAGACACTTGATTTTTTTTAATTTTTGATATTTCCAGTGTAGAATTTTAAGGGCTATAAAATGATATATAATTTGTAACTATATTTTAGGTATTTATATTAAAAAATGATTTAATGAAATCATGCATTAGGCGATTTTCGATTTTGAAGACGTATATCTTTAGATCTGATTGACCTATCACACAAAATTTTGATTTTATTAAAATATACATCATAGATAACTATCATGCCCAATTTCGTTTATTTTAGAGATGGTCATTTAAAAATCTCGTTCCATTATGTAAATAAATTATATTATTTTATTATATAAATAAGTAATTTATTAAAAAGTAAATGAGATGAGTAATGTATACATTAAAAATTAAAACGATTAGTCTGTTTACAGAATGCAAAATCAATCGGATCGGTAATCGGCAGATATCAAACAAATCAGCTACTATCGCTCTCCATTGTGAATGATTAATTTAGTTTTTAAATTCCAATATTATATTTAAAATAATATGTTTGAAATAAATTTTTTGCTATTTAAGAATAAATACACATCTAAAAATAATTTTAGTATTATATGGAAGTTAACATATCCTATCCCTAGCCTTACCTCAATATTGGGATATTTAAAATACTAGAATGATAGTATATTTTTTTAAATTCCTGATGAAAATATATGAAATTGTAATAATTTTAGAGTTATACTTGAGGTTGTGCCGAAATTTGTTTCAAAAGTTTTAAACTGTAAGGAAGATTATGAAAATTTTACAAAATAAAATGGACGCAAGGTGATTAAAAATTATGTTACTGCACGAATTTTATTTAATATTTACCAAAAATATTAACTGGCCCAAAAAAAATAAAAACGTGCCAAGTTAATAAAAAAAACTCTAATATTATTAAGAAATATAAAATATCTACAAAATAATTTTTAAATTAACTAAAGTAATTAATATTACTGTATTTCTTATTAAAAAAACTGCCCGAATAATTTATTGTCGATTTATAGATCACGTTTAATTTATTAATCTATTTTAAATGTTAATATTTTATAACAAAAATAATTTCAGACAAGAGCGCTAAAAATTCTAAACGATCACAACATCCAAAAGTCGATACTTATTTTGGACGATCTATTGCAAGCTATGACTTTAATTATGAAAATGTGGTTGAAACCTTTAAATTAGACAAAATCAGTTCTAAATTTATGCATTTTAATTTTATCTAGTCCAGATATTGTACCAAGCTACTTTATTATATCATATTGTATTCAGTTTCAAATCATTAAATAAAATACTTAAAATATTGTACTATGTTTAAGCAAGACATAATTTCTGGAAACGGGGCAGAAATGTTCCTGATAAAAAGATAGTAATAAAAAATATCTCAATTTTAAAATATTTAGAAAAATATGGAATTTTCTTAAAAATACTCAGGACCAGGAGCAAATGTACGAGAAGTGTTGAAGTGGGATTAGGAGTTAATTAATTATTGAAGATAGAAAATACTTTTTTATTTTATATTTAAAACTTATAATTAGGGCTGTGCCGATATTAAATATCGGATTGGCACCAATATTTAGCGTTTTCCAAAAATATCGGATCGGGTCGATACCTATAAAAACCGATCCGATCTTTTTACTTTTCTTTTTTTGTTATGTATGATATAATAGTGTAATGTAATTATATTTTTTTATTAGAATTAGATAATAGTTTTTGTAATAAATAATTATTATCGATTTTTTTAGTATTGTTTTGTGAAAAAAATATTATTATTGTTTTTTTTATAGATTATTTTTTTGTTATTTTTCGCGATGGTTATAAAAAGTAGAAAAAAAAGCGAAATAAAACAATTATTCAATTTTTGTTTTCAGAAGCAGAATAAGATAAAAGAAGAAGAAAAGATTTTAAAAAAATCAAGTAAGGAAAAAAAACCATTATATTTAATTTTTTTAAAAAAAAGTTGTAAAAAGGCAAAAAGTGTTAAGCTTGAAAGCGCAGTAAGAGAAGAAAAAATAGATTGTAACCATCAGGCTTAAGGCTTGAAAGTGCAGATAGTTTAAGTTTGAAAGTGGTGGCCAAGGACAGTATCCCTTTTAAGTTGAGAAAGCAATAGTTAAGAGTTTAGGTACCCATTTGTTGGCGGTTACATTGAGAAAGCATTAAATTAATAGTTGAGTTACCCATTTGTTGGGCGGTTAAATTAAGAAAGCATTAAAGTGAGAGTATAGTTACCCATTTGTTGGGCGTTAAGTTAAAAAGGACAAATTATACGCTAGTGATGCCCAAATTTTTGAGTATATAAATCTATTAGACGAAATACCCAAAATTTAATAAATAAGCCAGTTATACGGAAGTGCTGCCAAAATTTTTGCATATATAAATCTATTAGACGAAATTTACCCAGAATTTTAGTAAATAAGGCAGTTACGGAAGTGCTGCTCAAATTTTGTTAAGCATAAATCTGTTAAGAAATTTTCACGGATTTTTTCATATATTGACCTATTAAGTGTGCATCATTGGTTTTTTACGCTACTTATAATATCTTACTTATTGAAATTACAAATACCAAGATTTTTATTTTAAAATTAATCATAAATTTTTTATAACGCCAGGATGAAGAGTTTAAAATTTGTTAAAGACTGGGAGATACAGTATAATATTTTTGGAGCGCTGGTTATACTATTAATATGGATATGTAGTTTAGTTTGGGGAGGAGAATGAGAAGGAGTATCAGCGTAAGAATAAAAGGGCAAACATTGACCATTGAGGGACATAATGGAGAAGAGGATATGATGGGCAAAGTAACTTGGTCCGGTTCAGGAGTTAATTAAGGGTGGGACGGATAGCAATATAAGCAAGAATGTATATGGTTCGGATAAACAAAGTTTCGAAAATAATCAAGTGTTGAGACCGTATAGAGAGCCAAGAGAGAATTCTCGGGGAACGAGATTGGAAATAAGACAAAATTTTGAGTCTTGAGGGAGAGGAGTTATGAATTGTTATAATTGTGGTAAACCAGGTCATATGATTGCCGTGAGGCGAAATGTTTTGGTTGAGGAAAGTTTGGAAATATAGCCCCTTATTGTTCAGGTAAGCAAGAGAGATTAAGATGTGCGGGTTGTGGGAGGTTTGGGCATAATAAGGAGGAATGTAATACGAACAATTACAGTAACAAAAGTGATTTTCCACAGAGAAGGATGAGTTAGAATGCATCAAATGTGAGGACGATTGAACGGGAGAGAATGGAAGGGACTCGGGCAGTTATTGTCAAGGAATTGGAGAAGAAAAATATGGAATGTTTTCGATGCCGAAAGAGTGGGCATGTGGCGAGGGACTGTGAGAATGACTATATGATAGTAAAAAATTTGCAGTACGGGTCGGGGCGAGACTGTTAAGAGGGACAAGGGAGGGGTTTTATCAGCGAAAAACAAATAAGGAGGGATGCGTAAATATGCCACAAGAGGGGGTAGTACATGATCCTTGTCCGAGAGTGATGATAAATTTAGGGGAAGAATGGTTCCCATGTTGTTTGATACAGGAGCAGCCATTTCGGTAATTGGATATAATGGATATCAGAGAATTTGGATCGGGAAAAGAATAGAGAATGAGGGGTTGAGAACAGTTTGATGGGACCCAGTTGGCAGCTATGGGTAGGGTGGAAATAGTAGCAACATTGGAGGAAAGGGTTGAAATATTAGATTTATGGGTTATTAATCGGAATATAGAAGCGGTGTTGGGATGGGATTGGATCACTTGAATTGGTCGATGGTATAGTTTTTGGGGAGTATTTTCGTGGTGGGGTATATTTTCGTGGTGGGGTATATTTGTACCAATAACGAGTAAGGAATATGCCGTTATGACCTTGAGAGAGAATGTGTAAAAATACCCGGGGCACGTTGGAGCTGTTGAAAGGTGTCGTGATATTAAGAGGAGGGAGGAGGAAGGAAAGGCCGAGAAAAGGAAGGTAGGGCCACATCAAATCGAGAAGTGACGAATACCAAGACGCAAATCGAGAAGTGTTAAATACCGGTTAATGATGCTTGGTACCTTAAGGTACCATCTATCAAATTTGAATTTTGTTCATTTTTCATTTGGATAGGCACTACCAAATATATTTATAATATATATTTGAAAAATCGTGATTTTTGGAAAGCCTCTATGGCCTAATAGGCAAGAGCTTGGCTTACTTATCCTATGCTCCCCGGTTCGAATCCCGGGAATGATCAAGTTTTTTTTCTTATTCTAACTTGGTGGGTGGTTCCATCCTTGGGGGGATGATATATAGAAGGCCGGACTCGACCACGTGATTCCGTATTAATATATTAAATAATAAGGGTCTTATTACATTTTAATAAATTTTGGTCGGTATTTAGCAAATTAGATTGGTATTTAAAATATTTTCATACATTCACTTGGTAGTAAGCATCATTAACCTTAAATACCAAGACACAAGAAGATCGGGAGGTAATGATGCCAAGACGTTGCCCAATGAAGAGGAGCTGATAACCAAGGAAGATGATGGAGGGAAATGGGGAATGATCAGAGTGCAGGAAGGAGTTCGGAGATTAGTACAAGAGTATCAGGAAATTTTTAACGAAGATTTGGAATGCCTCCGAGATTATGAAGTAGACATTAAATTAAAAGATGGTTGTGTTCCAAAGTTTTGTGCGTTACGGAGGATAACGTTTGAATGGAGAAAGGAAGTGGAATTGGAGTTGGATTAATGGGTACGGAAAGATATTGTATGTCCTGTGGAATACAGTGAATGGGCGACCCCGTTAGTGCCTGTGAAGAAAGCCAATGGAAAACCCCGTTTATGCACAGATTTTCGAGTTACAGTAAATCCGTAAGGTTGTGAAGGTCAAATATCCTTTGCCAAGAATTGAAGAAATACTGGCTAGTTGAAAAGGAAGTGTTTATTTTTCAAAAGTTGATTTTTCTAATGCATATTTGCAACTACGGGTAAACCGCAGGTAAAGAAGTTATTAACTATTACTATGCCAAAGGGATTGTTCGCGTTTTGTAGATTACCGTTCGGACTTAGTGTCTCGGCTCCTATATTTTAAAGGACAATGGCTGCTGTTTTCCAGGAGATGGAAGGAGTTTTCTACTATACGGATGATGTGTTGGTAACGGGAAGACCCGAACAACATGAACGGAGGTTGGAAAATGTGTTTTAAATAACAAAAGAAAAAGGAGTGAGAGCCAGCGCGGAGAAAAGTGTGTTGGGGGTTACGGAAATGACATATCTGGGGCATAGAATTGCGGAAAAGGAGGTGAGACCCTTGGGCAAGAATATAACAGGAATTAATAATATGATAAGACCTAATAATAAAGTAGAAATGCATGCCTTTTTGGGGATGGTAAATTATTATCATAGGTTCGTGGAAGGATTTGCTCAGATAACAGCGCCCTTATATCAATTGATAAAGAAAGGGGGAAAATTTGAGTGGACAGATGAGCAAGAGGAGTCCTTCAAAGATATGAAATATAGAATAGGAAAAGAACCTGTTTTAGTTAGTTTTAATAAAGAATTGGAAGTGATATTGGCGGTGGATGCATCTAATAAAGGTGTAGTGTTGCATATTGAGGCCTGTGTTATTTTCTCAAGAAATTTTAGAGCAGCAGAGATCAGGTATTTAGTGATTGAACAAGAAACATTGGCCGCTATTTTTAGATTAACAAAATGTTGTGAATATTTAATTGGACGCAGATTTGTTATTTACAGGGGTCATAAGCCGCTTGTATACCTTTTCAAAAAGGACAATAAAAAATTAATGTTTTCACTTTGGTTACAAAGATGGTTACTGCTAGTGGGCAGTTTTTACATCCAAGTGCGACGAGGGAGAGTGAATTATTTACAGGACATTTTATCCAGATGCGGAACGGGGGAAGATTTCGGGGAGAAAGAAAAGGAGGAACGGGAGGAAGAAAATGAGCAAGGACTGATTAGGACTATGGCTAGAGTCAGCGTCTACATGAGCGGGAGGGGTAGGAACAGTTTGCATCCTATTTTTTTAAGAGGGTAGGCTGCTTTAATGGGGGTAGGATAAAAAAAACTTTTTTTTTTGGGGGGGGGGAGGGGGTTATATATTAAATTTTGAGATGAAATAGGACACAATATATTGCTGTAAAAATTAATACTTTTATTATAGAATTATTATAATACAATTATTGACCAAATCTATATATTACAAACAATCATACACATTGTTTTCCAAATCAGCAAGCTCATAATGCCATAATAATTAATTCATTGTAAATAATGGAAGTTTTAATTGAATTTATTATCTAAAAAATAAATTCTTTATATTCACAAAATATCTATAGTTGGTAGTAGAGATAGATTTAAGTTATCCTTATAAATTCTCTGAAAAGAGAATCAATATAATTATAAAGGTGAAAATAATAATAAAGAAACACTGCCGCCGAAGATGACGTAAGGGGGGTAGGCAAAGGTTTTTAAGGGGGTTTGCATCTAGTGAAAATCCTGTCATGTAGACGCTGGCTAGAGTATCTAGAGGCGGGCCAGTGACATGGGAAGAGATTAAAAAGGTGACTTTGAAAGATCGGAATTGAGATGGATCAAAGCGTGCCTTAAGGGACGGAAAACGTGGCAAGATAGAGACAAGACCTATAAATATATACAAAAGGAGTTGGCAATAATAGATGAATGTTTGTTGCGAGTAAGTCGGATTGTTATACCGTTCAAGTTAAGGGAAATAGTAATAGCGATGATTCATGCTGAACATCAAGGAGTGAAAAGAATGAAACAATATGGGAATATGTTTGGTGGCCAGGATTGAACAAAGACATTGAAAATATCAGTCGGGCTTGTGTTAGATGTAAATAATGGGCTCCGATGCCTCCAAAAGATAAGGAATGTGTTTGGCCGAAAGCAACTCAGCCTTGGGAACGCATCCACTTGTATTTCTTTGAGATTGAGAATAAAAAATATATATTGGTGGTAGATGCTTTTTCAAAATGGTTAGAGTATGAGGAAGTGAAAGGATTAACCACTCAAGTCGTGATAAAAGTATTGAAAAATTTATGAATTTGGGGTCGCTATGACAGTAGTGCCGAATGGGGGTCCTGCTTTAATTAGTAGACAATTCAAAGTCTTTTGTGCAGAAACTGGAACGAAACACATTTTAGCGCCGCTATATCATCCTAGTTCAAATAAACAAGAGGAGAAGGTGGTAGCGGTAATCAAGAACTGGCTGAGAAAGTCAAAGGATGGGAGCGGAAAGATGTGGATATCAGTGGCGTATTATAACAACAAAAGAAAAGGGGAGGAGCCGTCGCCGAGGGAGAAGTTTTTAGGACGAAGAACTCGAATTTGGTTGGGTTCATTGACCGGCAAATCAGGAAGAAAAACGGTTCGAGATAGAGAATGAAGCGGAATTTATGGTAGGGCAAGCTATATGGGCAAGAATATTTGGATGTAACAAAAAATGGGAGCCCGGGGTGATTTTGGAAAATATGAGTAGCAATGTAAATAGAGTAGAATTTGCCGACGGGAGACAGGGAGTTAGACAACAATACCATCCTTCCTTCTTCTGGTGATGTGTCTCTACTTGGGAAGGCTTAATAAAAGCGAATCGGATAGAAACAATACGAATAGAAAATTATTTGATTTGCTCTAATACAAATAAAATAAACAATTATTCAATTCGAATAAAACAAATTATTAGATATTTTTAAATATTAATAATAAATAATTTAAAATAAATTTTGTTAGATATTCTTAATATATATTTGTTTATTTTCATAGTTTCTTTGCCCCATTTTAAAACGTTTTATATATTACCCATCTTTAAATTTTATCCAAAAAATTAATATTTAAAACCCTACTAAAGGTATAAATCTGATTTGGTAAATTATTGTATAAAAATCTAGCATAATTATAGATTATATAATGACTGATAAACCTAGATCAATGTTGCAAAAAATCTTCCCATAAAATCCATTTAAGAACAATATGGATACTGTAATAATAATGAAAAGGCTGTTGAATCATTACAAGTGCATTTAAGTCAAGACATAAAACACTCAGCTCACATCCTATTAAAAATAAAAAGATTTGAAGGAACGTAGTAAACAGAAATCACTAACTTCCACTTAAGATAACTTGTTAGAATTCAAACTAATTTTTGATAATAATAAATAGTATTTAAAACTATTGATTGAAAGGATTTTAAAATAATCTGATTCATCATAAAGTCAATCAATATTACCAAGAAAGAACATACGGTAAAAAAAGAAACAATTTAATAGGATAAATTTTTATATTAATATTTCAATCTCAATGCAGGTTCCTCTTTAGGTCTAACAGCTCATTTTATTGATTAGATAAGAATCTTAAATTAAATAACATAATGAGACAATAAAAAATTTGGCAGTATATTTTTTTATAACCGATTTTATAATAATTAAGAATACGAATAATTCGAATTGAATACAAATATTAAGTTAATTATTCTGTTTTTAAATATGCCTTAGCCATTGGGGATCCTAACCTTTATTTATAAAAGTTTGGCGATTATTGTTCAAAGGCAAGAGATTTAAAAGGTTATTGTTTGGTTATGGTTCAGTTATGATTTTAAAAATTTATAAAGATTTTTTCGGGGTCTGAAATTTGTATAATATTTATATCTAATTTGTTTTAAAAAATATAGTGACACCTTGTATTAATTTTATTGTGAAAATATACAATACACACTAACAAGGTTTAATAATTATTCAAGATTTATCAGTAAAAATGGAATGTTAGGGAATTACCTGAATTAGCAAGAGCCCAAATAAAAGTTTTATTTATATTAATTATCTAAATTTAAATATAATAAACCAACAAATAATCAGAATATTATATTAAAAAAATTTAGTAAAATTATTAAATATTTATTTTGATCAATTCATTTTCTTTGATCAAATCATTTGTGATGATCATTTTTATAATTAGGTGAATAAAAAAATTTAAATGAGATCATACAGGTGAAAAAATTTCCCAAATTAATGTGAATCGTGTACAATCAATTGAAATTGCTCTGTTCCGAGGAAATTATTTTTCTCGGATTTCAATATGAGTTTTCTGCTTTTTTCTGTCTTATATGTTTTTAAAAATATTATATTTTTTTAAAATTAGGCTAAATAAAATGTTATATGGGCAATTTCAAATTTAATAAATTAGGATTTTTACAATTTTTTGAAGTAAATTGTTTAAAATATGTATATCAAACAAGTGAAATTAAAATTTCAGTGAAAGTGAACTATAGAAAAGAGACAATTGTCATAATAGTTATTATTAATTTTTGAAATAAATGGGGAAAATTTTATATTGTAAACATGTTAAATTGAAATTTTGAAGATGGACCATAAAAATATGGCAATTGTCATAATCATAATTTTAACTTTTTTGAAGCAAATGGGTCAAAAAAATATTTTAAACTTGTTAAATTAAGACACTGAAGATGCAGGGTAGAAAAGTGGCACATAAACCCTTAACGTTTTCATATAAATCAATAAAAAAATATTTTATATCATATAAAGATTTCTGTTAAAAATATTAATTTATATATTCTATTATTAATATAACACATTTATATTTTTTATATATTAAATTAAGCTTTTCATTCAAATCTTAACTTAAGCATTTTTTATTTCAATTTTTATATCTTTTAGAAAAAGTACTTTGTTTTATATTTTATTTAACTTATATTCAAATATATTACTTAACTTTAAAAAAAGTGATATTATTTTTTTATAACACTTCATTATTTTTTAATTTTTATTAGTTTTATTTATAATGCATCTAAAGGCATGGAATATGTATAAGATATATTAATCAAAAATTAATTTGCATTTTTTTTATAAAAATAAAATTTTAAATATTTAAAAAAGGTGTGATTTGTATTTCTTTCTCATTATTTGAACATTTATTTTAAAAAATTTTTAAAAATAAATTGGTAAATTTTCTGGTTCTGACCATTGAGATCCTTGAATTATATAATTTACAAAAAAAAAATTTTGATATATGTAATATACACAAAATGCATATTAATTTTATTTTTAATTTGCTTGTGGATATTAATGTTTCTCAAAATTCTTAACATATTTGGTGGAACAGATGTTTTATTGCATGCTTTCACCAAAATTTTGGAAAAATAAACTTTAATAGTATAAGTAGAGGTGTTGAATAAAATCAATGACTGAAAATCATATTAATAAATCATGGTTTAGTTTAAAGAGAAGAAACAAGGAAAAATTAATTCCCATCCATGTATCAACCATGGATTCTGATTTAGAATTTAACATGCATGTAAATAATATTTCTTGAATATATTTCTATTTAACAATATCAATGTATTTTATTTTTATTTGAATAGGCAAAGGCTAAAGGACATGATCTCTATGAATTGGTATGCAAAATTTTAGGAATAAGAGAATCATGGTATTTTGATCTTAGGTATATAGACAAATATGGTCAATATAGTTGGCTCAAATTAAATAAAAAGGTTTGTTTAATATCAATCAATATTAATATAAAATAGTATTGCTATATTTAATAGGTTATTGACCAATGCCCAAAATGTACAATACCTTTTAAACCTCAAACAAATACTAAATATAATCCCATAATTGAACACAATATAAAAACTAATAATATGTCCAATATAAATAAAGAAAAGCCTAAATTATTTGATGATAAATATGAGCAACATATTAATGATGATGGGAATGGGAGCTATAATTCACCAATTATTTATTCATTTGAATTTTTGATTAAATTATACCCAGAAGATGTTGAAGAAATTATTCAAGCTAATACACTCCATCTATTTTTTTTACAAATCTTAAATTTAGTGCTTAACATGGATATATATTGTCCACCAGAAGCCTCTGTTCTTTTAGCATCATACTCACTCCAGGCTAAAGTATTTAGTTATATAATATATTAAAATAATGAGTGGAAGTTAAAGAATAGAATATACAGAAATTTAAATTGAGTTAATAAGTGCTATAAAATAAAAGGTAAAGGAAAATAAGTAGGTATAACATATATATATATATAACACATCCAAATATAATAATTGGTAATGTAAAATTCTACAATCAGAATTAAATAAAAGAAAAATCGTTTTTGAATTTTCTAAAAAAATGAGTGATTTTTAAATTCATTCTTCATAAAAGTAATTTAAAGAAACCAAAAATATTTTAAAACTTTTGTTATATTAAAGGAACTTCTTTTTCATAACATTGGTTCACCATACTTGGTTAAAAAGTTAAATAATTTTATAATTAATCTTTTATTTGAAACAGTACGGAGACTATCAGGAAACTATGTTTAAAGCTCATAACAACTCTCAAGTGATATCCGAGTTGCCAGTTCGGGTATTAAATCAATATCAAATGACAGAATCCATGTGGGAAGAAAGGATCGAAACATGGTACATTCATCACAAAGGCATGAATAGGTTGCATAATTATTTTGTCGATCAGAGAAATTAATACTCGTATTATCTAGAGGTGCACAGAAGATTTGGGCTAAACCAATCTGACTTTCCTTAAAAGCTTATGGGGAATATGACTTTGAATTTCTTAGTATTATCACCCTTATGGAATTTTTAAGAAAATTAAATTAATTGAAATAAAATTAGTATGAGTTGCCTTTAGTGTTTGTAAAGATTATGATTTTTCAAATTTAAAATTTATATAGTCTTTTTTTAGAAATTAAATCACTATTTTTTAAAAAGAATCATCTTATAATAAAATAATAATGCATTTCTGGAGGACTTGGAACCTGGGATAAATCTAGAAATTGTAGCCCATATCTAAAACCCTCTATTTGAAGGAACCAAAGCCCATTTTAAAATTTCTATGAACCGGCTCTAACTAAAGGGTAAACAATATATAGGTTATGATAGAGACTACCAAATTTGGTTAGAAAATCGTGATTTTCTGATAGTATCTGTTGCCTAGTCGATAAGAGCGTCGTTCTCCAATCCAAATGTTCTGGGTTCGAATACAGCAAGTGGTAAGCAGAAAATAATTGCCTGAAATTATTCCCCCAGAAAAAAATTATTCCCTAGAAATAAATTCCCCATTTTTTAGATTTTAAATTAAATATAGGGGAAAATATATCCCCTGAGAAACCAGAAAAATTTCCAAATAGTTTTTTTCAAAATTATAAAAAATATCCCTACCCCTAAAATAACGTAACCCGCAGAACAAAATATTTTGAAAAATTTATGTTTTGATATTTTAGAAGAGAGAAGAGAAGGGACTTACCTAATTTTCTCTCTTCAATTGGAGAACATATCCGTTCTGGAATTAATTCATTTGAATAATATCTTTTATTGTTTCATATATCATTTTAATAAAATAAAAATATAATTATTTCTTTTCTGTAAATTAAAAAAATTCATAAGCAAAATAATAATTATAAGATTTGAAATATATAATACTCAGTGCTAATAATCACCTCTGAAATACATGTTTTTTATTAAAATGGTCAGCATTTATCATTACTTTTGGCAGTATTTAATTTAAATTGGGCAGTAAAAAATATAATTTAGCAAGTTTTATATTTATTTTGTATTTAGCCAGTTAAATTCTTATAGTAGGCAATAAAAACTTCAGTAAAATAATTTTTATCAAATAGAGGAGACTAGGTTGAATTGCAAATTTCCTATTTCCCCACAGAATTTATATATATATATATATTTATATTTAATATCCTATCATTAGCATAAAAAACAAAAAAGGGCGCTATTTAAGAGTTAGTAAATTGTGAAAAGCCTCTTATCTCCAACTGATATTAAATTTTTTAATATATTTCTAAAAACTTCATGGAAATGATTAATTTTAACTTTCGTTTTATTATTTAAAACCTCAAATCTTCATGGGATTTTGAATTTAAAAACATTTTGATTTAATTAAAGTGGTGCAGATCCGTATCATAAAATAGTATGAATTTATAAATCTGGGCCAAAATAAAAAATCTGGATGGCTATTTTATCATTACTTAGCTTTAATAATTTTTGCTTAATATCACAGAGACTAGGTATCCAATTCGTTTATTTTATAAATATTGTTTTGTTTAATTTTCACCAAATCTGGGTTCGGGATAAGGCCATAACATTATATATTATATTGGTTAGGGTTAATTAATAATAATTTAAAAATTTGATTAGGTTTAATATTAATCACTAGTTATTATTAATCATTTTGTTTGAAAATTTTATTTGAGAAATTTTATTTTGAAAAATTTTACAGGAATTGTTTTTTATTTTGTTGATTTTATCAAAAATTATAAAAAAAAATTTGGGAGATTTTTTCCCCTATTTTGTTAATTTTCTATAAAAAATTTAATATTTTATAGGATCAAAAAGGGAAATTGGTTAATTTTTTCCGGGGAATTATTTTCCGGAGATTATTTTTTGGGGAATTTTTTTCCAGTGTGTAATCTTCCGGGGAATTATTCTCCTAGATTCCCAACAAGGACTGTTTTTTCTGAAGCCAACTTGGCAGTTCCGTAGGTGGGATGATATATAGTAGTAGATTGGAGGCGATCGCGTAATTTCACCACTTAATATATAAAAAACGAATGCTGACTTGGCAGTATTTATCATTAGCCTAATGTATGATTGTGTGATTATTTTAAGTGTTTATTTATCTTTTAAATTTTTTGAGCTATTTTTTGATAGTTTTAGCAGAATTTTGAATTGGAATTAAAATATGGAGCTTCCGGTGCGTCAAATTTAGGAAAATCATATGACCTTTTAAAATAAAAACGATAACCATGTTTTAAAAATTTTTGGAACCTGAAATAGGAGCCTTTTTAGTTCAGGTTCTAAACTCTGAGATAACTAACCTTTGACGTTGAGGCAAAATAATGAATTATACATGTTGTCCAGTTAAATTTATGAATCAATCATTGTTAAATTAGTATAATATTTAATTCACTAAATTTCTTTTATCATATTAAGCCTTTTTGGTCACATTGTCTCTCTTTTTCTAACATATAATGCCCCTTTCAATACAAGTACATGACAAAATCGTTGATTATTTTTAATTATAATTATGATTAGATCAATTTTTTGGGTTGTATTTTAATAATTATTAGTTTTTGTTTTCAAAAAATGCATTTTATTTTACCTTATTTTACTATTATCATGTAAGTTATCATTATTTCCTAAATTTTATTATTATAAAGGATTTTATATGTTGCGTTTATCCTAAAATTATTTATTTGGCATAATAAACTCGAAATCCCCCAAAAAGTATGGGAAAAAATTCGACCAAAAAAACTGTTGGGGGGGGGGGTGAAATTATTAAATATTTTTAATAGTGGCGAAAACATTATTATCCCTTCATAGCACAGGTGGGACTGCAAACCCCAGTCATTTAAAAAAACGTTTTTACTTAAAATTTTTCGATATTTTTGTCTGGATCTTTTAGTAACTTTGCTTTTAGATAAAATATATATGTTCAAAATTGATATTTATTGTTTGTTAGTTCATGAATTATTACGGTTTTTTGGATAGATCCCACGTTACCCGTGTAACTTTATACTTTAATCTGTTTTAACATTTATAGTATAAGCATAAATAAACACTTTTTTATACATTAATTTAATAATTAAAAATTATATTATATTAATATTTGAACCTTAGATAAGCATTCTACATCATCAATTTTATTTATATATTTTTATATCATATTATAACAGTTTAAAATAATGTGTCACTTTTTGACTCTGGCCAAAGCTGTCATGAAATTTTAATGACAATAAAATCTTAATATAACAGTTAGTCACTAAATGTAATATATGTTTAAAATATGAAAGCTATAAATAAATTTAATTCTAAGGAACCCCACTTGACTTTCATGTCATTTTTTTCACCTGTGCTATGAAGGGTTAAGATTAAGATGACTGTTGATATATTATTATATTATTTTCTTTTTAATAATACAGTTACACTCTCTGAAGACTTTACGTTTTTACACATTTTAGTATATTTTCTTTTTAAATAATACAGTTTTAATTTTCCAAGACTCCTTCAGATTTAATTTTTTACACAGTTTTTTTCTGAGATTTTTTTTTCTGCAGTTTTTCGGTAGTTTTTTTTCCCCATTACCAATAAACTCCTATAAAGTCAATTTAATATTGTTAATATTAAAGGAGATTGAGATGAGATGCAGTTTATAAATATTTGTTCTATTTGTAAAAATATTAGCTTGATTAAAATAATTTAATTTTGTTAGAACTTAATTTAAAAAAATATATAGTCATAATTAGGACTGGCAACAATACATATTTTCTTTTAGATTTATTTACTAAATTTTTACTTTATTTCATGAATAGCGCGATAAATATTTTTTTATATTTATAATTTGCCAAGTGATATTTCGAATTTATGAAAAAATATATTGCGCAATTATGGTTCAATAATTATTAATTTAGGGAAAATTAAATAATATATCGACATCATATTTACATTTATTATATAAGTTTAACATATCTGTGATGGCAATATTTTTGTATTTGTGATGGAAATCATATCAATTATTTATTTAGGATATCGTAATTGAAGTCAAAGATATAGAGAATCAAAACTTAAATAATGTTGACTCGGAAAACTTTTCCTATAAAAGGAAAATCATCCAGCTTACACCTTTTTCAAAATAAGGATGCTTATTTTAAACATTCAAGAGTTTTAATAATAAAAAAATATTGATTTCTATTCTTCTCCAAGTTATATGGATAATAATTAAAACCATATAAACCAATAGATACAATATAGGAAATTTTGTTTAAAGCAATATGATAGGTTGAAATGAAATCAATATCAATAAAATAGTCAGAGACCGGCAGAGATACCATTTGCATGGCCCAGCCCGGATTTTTTTAAAAAAAATTTCAGCCCCTGGGCCTGAATTTTTGCGATTCAAAATATTTGGTTTTAAAATATAACCCCCGGTCCGAATTTAAAAAAAATTTTTTTTAGTCCCAGCTCGAGTATTAATAATTTTTTAAAATATAATCGGCCTGGGTATATTTAGAAAAAATTACCACTCGGGTTGAGCTTAGGGCCGGACCTGCAGGTTTCTGAAACATTTAAAATCTCACGACCGACATGGAATTTTAATTGTGAGATTTTAACATTCTAGATCTATGTTATCTATTTCACACGTTATGAGCCATATAATTTTAAATACCTAATATTTTAAAATCTCATGGCATTCAATCTAACAAGTTACATTAGATCAGAGTTGTTGATAGTAATTAGAGATACATGTCAGATGCATATATACTAAAAATATATAGGTGGTAAATATAGATACAATTTCTCTGGCATAGCCCGGATTTATCTCCAGTGAGGAAGGGGGGGGGGTTACGATTTTTTTAACATTCCAAACTTGTGACCCCCAAATAATAATGTTTAATATATTCTTCCCTTTTGCCTGATTCAATATCATAATTATAAAATGAATTTAAAAACTAGGAACAATTTTTAAAAAAATTAGGAGATGGGAAATATTTACTATTAATTTTCTTAAAATTTTTTGTAATAAATAGAATAAAATTGATAAATATCTTTTAATTATCGGTTATTTCTGAATATTTAAATTTAATGTATAACATTATAATTAAGATTTAAAAAAATATCTTGAGATTTCTTCTCTCCTTTTTTTAAAATGTGGGCTGCAACAGGCCACGGACCAAATTAAAAAATAACAATTTTTTTTTTACTTAATCTTATTTTCAGTCATTCCCGTACTCGCCACTGAATTTTCAAGATAAATTTTAAATACTATTCTTACATAAAGTGTGCATAATGTCCAAATTGAAAATCTATTGTTAAAAAAAATTAAATTTTGAAGATCCAAATTTTTTTTATTCATTTGGATATTTATTTATATATAAAATATATTGCTAGCTTTTATTTTTAAAAGTTTTTATTATTGAGGCATTCTCCTTTATCCTTAATACAGATTTTTAGTTACTTAAATGGATAGTTCGAGAAAAATCTTCATAAATTTTTTGGGTAAAAGTATTTGAAGGTTTTCTTTGAAGAACAGAGATTTTTGATCAAATTTTAAATAAAAATGTCAAGATTTTTTTAAAAAAACTTTTATAAGTAAATATTTTGGATATTTGGTCATTCATTGTGTAAAATTTTTATTTCATTTGTTATAATAATTTTAAAAAATAAACTCGGACATATTTTTAACAAATTTAATTCAAAAATTTTAATAAAACAAAAAAGTATAAAATAAAATTGACTAAAATGTATTATATAATTGATAAAAATACAGCTAAACATATTTAGATAAGATAAACATTTATATATCTAGACTCTAACATATCTGCATTGGATTTTAATATGGAGAGACCAAGTTGAATGGTTTAATATTTTAAAAAAGTATATATATAATTTATTTATTCTGTAACAAATTGTTAAGAGGTAATTTTTTTTTCATGTAATAAATTAATGAATAGAGAGGAGGCTGAATTGGAGTATTTGAAGATTGTGCAAGATTTGGATATGTATGGCATACAATATTTTGATATCCACGTAAGTATTATTTAGTTCTGTAAAAACTTTATAATTTTATTTTTTTTAAGTCATTTAATGATATAGAGATTATTTAGTAAGGTAATTTTACTTTTATTTTATATACTTAAAATTAGAACAAGAAAAAGACCGAACTTTGGCTTGGCGTTTCAGCTTTAGGCCTCAATATTTATGAAAAGGATAATAAATTATCTCCAAAAATATTTTTCCCATGGAACGAAATAAGTACCGTCTCCATGGACATTAAAAAGGTTTGTTATACATAAACAGAATATAGTATGAAGGTTAACGGGATATATTACCCTTAACTAGATCTAATCATGACTATATGTTGCCCTATTTTATGAAGAATCATATTAGGTTATAATAAATACAAATGTAAACCACTGTTCATCGATTCTAGATCTATGCCTAAATATCGACTTCATCAAAAAATTTATTGTTACCTTGCGGAATTATGCGGCATCCTAATACTGAATTAATTTGTTTTCAAAGAAATTGCTTTTCATTATTTTTATAGGCTTAAGTAAACATCCATATCCTTCGAAGAAAATTTGGAGGGAGATATAATATTTGGAATAATTCGCTTTAGTCTTCATCTGATTTAATCATTCTCATATTTGTAGCAAATATTCATAGTTTTTAAATCAACCGTAACCAAATATTTCTCTTAGATTTGCATCAAGAGGGGGGAGGGGTAGTTACAGCCTCTTTAAATATATTTTTGGGTCTATAATAATTTATTGCCCTAAAAAATATTTTTTGTCAATTTTAAATGATTAGATGTGAGCGTATTCTGACCATTTCATTTTAAAATCTGAGCGTTCCAGTTTTATACCTGAGCAATTATTATTTTTTATTGCCAATTCATTTTTTATTTGAGGATTTAGGATTACCTTAAATCAGGTAATTTTAGACCCTAATTGTTTCCGTATTCTCTAACCATTTGTTTACTTTTTTATGTAATAAGTATTTAATAATTCATGATACATTGTTATGAAAATTTACAAAATATTTAATACCAATTTTTAAATCCCCATTTATAAACCTGAGTTTTTAGCCCAGGTCCATGTTTTTATTTTTAGGCCCCGCCCATATATTTAAATTTTGTGAAATGTTTTAGAGAGATTATGAATTGTAAAGAGAGATTGAAAATATGAGAAATAAATGATCCATTATGTATTTTTGCATTATAGACATATTTTTAATTTTATCATATTTAACGGGTCAATCAAATACACAATCAATATTATTTTGTTTGCCCAATATACTCTGTTCAAATTCATAGGGGATGGATACTGAAATATAACTGCATATTTTATTCCCTCTTAACCTTTACATTCAATTTTTCTTAATTATTAAAATATTATTTCTTACAAAGTTCACCATCAAGTTATTGGATAAAAACACTTCTGGGTTCGTTTTTTATGTCGAAAAATCGCAAACCATTAAACTGGTTCGTATATTATATTACTTTATTTATTCTTAGATCTGCAATATTTAAAAAAAACTATGTTTTTCACAAATCGAGGGGATATTCTGAAATGCATTGTTAAGTTTGAAAAATTGTTTACATTTCAACACAATTTCGCATTAATATATATTTTGTAAATTAATTAGTCAATCCTAAATTTTGGCATTTTTTTAAAAGATACTTGAACTATGTGTGCGAAATCATGATCTGTTTTTGAGAAGACGAAAATGCGATTCCTTAGAAATACAGCAGATGAAAAATCAAGCCAAAGAAGAAAGAGCAAGGAAACAAGTTCGTTTAGATTTGTAAATATTATTTACATTTTTTACCGATTGAAATATGATTAATCATATTGCTATTTCGCAATGCACTAAAATATTTTGATCTATTAAAAATACTATATTTATACAGATAGAAAAGGCTAATTATATGAGAGAGCAGCAACAATTAGAAGAGGTCCAGAAGATAAAAAAAGAACTTGAACTTCAGCTGGATAATGTTAAAAAGGAAAACGACAGGATTAATCAAGCCTTGGTAAATAATAGCGATACTTGAATAGCCACTATTATTTATATTGCAGAGATATTTTATGCAAAAGCAAATCATAATAATTACTATAATTATTTCATATTTTTATAATGTACTATATATTTTATTTTCAAAAACTGATGAAAAATTTTAACTTGATTAAAAGATGAAACATATAAATCTATAAACTAATATTTTAAATTATTGTACAAAGTACGCCTTTAAGGCGTATTCGATAAAACTTGGTAGAACTTAACTAATTTAATGTTGTATAACCAATAGAAAAAGTCGAAAGAAACGACCGAGCTATTGGTCGAAAAATCAAAACTCGCCCAAGAGGAGAGTTATCTTCTAGCTTTTAAGGCCAAACAGTCCCAAATGGAGATCGAAAAACTCAGGAGTTCCGTGATGCTAGGGCAACAACAACAGCCCCAACAGTTACAAAATAATGTTAATATCAATCCCCGTACCTTATTATTTATGCCTTGTAATGAAAGACTAAATACCGTTACATCGCTGAATTATAACATCGGCAATAATTTTAACAACCTACCTTATAATATAAGCAGTAACAATGCCGCAACTTATCAAAATAACACCTATTTTAATAACAACCTTAATAGTAATATAATGAATAATAACGGCTTAAACGAAGCCTTAAATAATATACTTTATCCCGCGATTAGTAACGGTTGCAATTTTAATAATATAAATCATGCCAAATATCTATTACCTAACATTTGCCTGGCCTTGGATGGTTTTCCGACTTCACCCAATTCTTTTTCTAATGCCAACTATAATATAAAGTTTTGATAAACATTTTAAATTAATATTTTTGCATTTTTTATCGGAGAAAGGTTATTCATATTAAGAGAATTATGGACAGAAAATATTAAACCAAAATGTTGCTTTTTTTGATTACTCGTAGAGAAATAATAACGTATGCCTGACAATATAGGCTTGAAATTTATATTATAAAAAGGATATATAAGACTAGCAAGACTTAAAGGTATGGTAATCTAAGCTCAAATGAATCTTTTCCATAATTACATTTTAAAATTATTTGTAAATTTTATTCCTGGAAATCAAAATATAGCAATTCCATTCTACCTAACGGTAATCATTTAGCTAATCATACCAATAAATATTTGCTCAATAACTCTAATACGCTCAAACAACATTATCAAGAACCTTCCTTTTTGTGTGATTTGAAAATAAGAGTAATATTAATATTATTTTATATTTAGAAATATTGTGATTTGAATGCTAAATAATGATATAAAATTTTCAAACGCATCTTTAACAAAATAGCCTATAAAATTTTTTTTATCCTACCCATTATAAATAAATATCTATTTACAACTTACACATTAAAAGCACGATAATTTGAATATTTACTCTCTAATATTGACAGAGCAAGAATAACTCGCTAGTTTTGCCTATCAGCAACGATCAACTGACAACCCCTTCATATTACAACTTCTATCGTGATAATTTTTCTGCCTCCCATCAACACATCGGGGACGCGGCCCATCTAATCAATAACTTACTCTATAATGTCAACGAAAATAACCCCGGCAACGCTCCAACGACTGATAATTTTTACCGAGACTTCGATTTTATGGCCACTCAGCATCAACTCACCACTGATAAAGAACTCGAATTGCTGAATGGCCAACTCGAAAAGGAGAGGTTATTTTTATAACTAGCATTGATATCCTTCGAAAAGATCTCGAGTCTAGCCCGGCCCAATTTTTTAAATTTAAAATGAATTGTTTGTCCCGTTCCCTCTCGATAGTCTGCCAGGTCAGATCCGAATGAAATATACATAAACCTAGTTATAAAGCTAAATTTTAATTCTCTACTTAATCGAAATCTTAAGATATACTACCCTGTTTCATTTATATTCTATCACTCTTATTTTTTTTAGCCTATTAAAAATTTTAAGTTAAAAATATTTATGAAATCAAAACTTTTATTCTTATAAAATACAAATATATAATAAACAAAATTTAATATATTAATTATTAAAATATGTAACTATTCAAAATTATCGCCCTACTATGCAAAAATACATTATTTTCAATTTAAAAAATTGTGTTACATTTACTTTTATCTTTATATTCTGGCGGTACATATTGGGGGGGGGGGTAGTGATTTTCATTTATTCCCGAATTTATTCTTCAATGAATCTTTTCCACCACTGCTTTCTAAGATCTCATTTAAGTAAACCCCAAATGTTTTCAACAGGATATAGATCTGCACCACGATAACTTATTGATATTTTGATTATTTCAAGGTTTGATTTAGCTTTATGATAAGGTGCTCCATCTTGCAGAAGGATATAATTTTTATGACCTAATAATAAATTGAGGGGATCAGTGTTTCTGAGGATATCTTAAAATTATATTAGTTATAAATACAATATCTCCTAGGCCTTTTACACTTATGCTACCCTATACTATTACTATACCGAAACTTAACATTTTTTTGTAAACAATTAGGAAAGAAGGTTTCTGCTTATGTTCTCATTACCCTATTTCTTATGGTCTCAAAATCTATATAAAATTTTGATTCGTCACTTATTATGTTCCTCGTTGCTCTTTTGTTTAATTTATATATTTTAAAGTAAATATAGGCGCAGCCTTACCCGAAATCCGCTGTACGGGCCGGAACAAAGATTTTTTGGTTGAGTCGGGCAAATTGTTCAATATATTTTAAAACATGAAATAGTATGACGAAACATATTTTGAAATAATTTTTTTTACCTTGCAGAAGGAATTTTTATTGAGTGTAATCTTCATTGATAATAGAGAAATCTCATCATATCATATTTTTGAAGAATCGATATAATACCTATTTAAAAACAATTTTTCGTTTAATCCTTTTTAAATTACTTATCTTTGGAAGTCCTCTATTTTGAGTGAGGATAAAACCTCTATATTTTTATAAGTATTTCTAATGTTTGTGAATTTTAAAGTATTTTATTTTAAATAGGTTATATTCTATTTAAAATTATTCAAAAAGTTAAATTCTTACATTTTTTTAAACCTTAAACATATATAGATACAAGATAATTTTACCAGTCAAAAAAATTCTATTTAATTTATCTCTACTAATAACTATGATTAGGCAGCATTTCTAGAGTGTATAAATGTTCAGATATCCAAAGAGACAGAATTGCTAAATAAAATAACTTAAGACCTCTTGTGCTACAAGAAGGATGAAACTGCAAAAGGTGTACCCGACAAGATGGAGCCTTTGACATTAATTTGTTATTGCATTTTGGGATCTAGAAGAGCCTATTTTGAATGCCCTTGAAGTAATATTAGAATGGTGTGAATGAGATACTTCATCTGAAGTAGATACATTATTAGATTCTATATGACCGCCGATTTTTGCATGTAAATGTGTTAATAAATTAATCAATTACACCACAATTTTATGCGATATATTTCAAAAAAATGATATGAATTTGGCTGGCTATGAGAATCGCAAATATTATTATATTACCACTTAGAAAATTTAGAGATAATAACGATCATTTCAAGAGATTTATGTAATTGTTGAGGCAAAAGCTAAATTGTATGATTTTGAGATTCGCAAGCCTATACTTGCACCTAGGCAAACAAATGAACCATTTGTTATTCATCAAATGGCTCAATTCAATATACAAGTACTATTACCTATAAATCCTTCTGCAGATATATTAAATCTTGATATTGAAAAAATTAAATATTAACTAAATTTTATTCAGAGGATATTAATATATCGCCTGATTTCAAAATTTGAGTCTTGGTAAGAAACATTTATTTTATTATCCTTTATTTTGTTTTTCCTAATATATTATAATTACTGTATATTCTGGCCAAGCACAAATGAGAATCTTTTCATTGCCTAGAATGAAAACATACCTCAAAAGTAAAGTTATTTTTTGGTTCTACCCCTATATATTGTTTATTCATTAAACACATTAAAATATACTATAAGGACCGAATACTTAGAGAAATGCAAGACACTCAGATATCAATTGCAAGAGTTGAGGAAAGACTTCGAAACACTGAAAGTCGTTGATAAAGAAAGTCCCCTGGATAGGATTCACGCAGAAGCTCAAATCAGGGGCGATAACAAATATTCTACTCTTAAAAAGGTATATACATAAATTTACCTTTTATTTGATACTAAATTAATTGTAAGGAAGAATTTTTAATGTATTTCATAGTTTTCAAATTGATAGCACCAAATTTAATATTTCTAAGTTTACTTTGTGTTATATTTATGAATTTTTAGGTACAAGACAACTATATTTATTCTTAATTAATTAGCTAAAAAACACGGCATATAACAATTTTATGTATCTCCTTATTATTGGCTATGGTTGTATTTACATCTTCTTTATAGTTTATTTTCGGTTTTCCAAGTGTACCCGGGTAAGCCAGTTTATTTTCTTATCCCTTTTATTTTTACGGTCCTGGGCTAGCGATTTGTAAAACCATTATTTTTATGCCACCCGTTTTCACTTTCATCCACGTTCATTGGTCTTCCTCGAAACTTGATCCCATTACTTCCAACGAATTACATCTCATGGCTTAATCATTTTCCGTTCAACGTGCCCAACCACCTCAGTCTATTGCTTCTCATCATTATTTCAATCGCTTTTGTACCAATTCTTTCCAGCAATTCATTGCTTGTTTTTTTCTTTCATAGATATGCCACACATCCACCTGATCACTCTCTTCTCCAGTCTTTCCAATTTAGCTTCATGCGCGCTTTTATTATTCACGTTTCGTTGCCGTGGACCATACAGCTTCTAGCACAGATTATATAAACGTTTCTTTTCAACTTCAGAGATACCTTATTATTTGTTAGAATGGACGTAACCCCTCAAAATCTTTTCTATGCATATTCTACCTTGCAACAACAGCAGAATCAGCACCTAAATTTGCTTTCAGCATGTCTCCAAAATAAAAAAACCTTCCCTCTTTTCCCAGAGTAGCTCCATTACCGTTATTTAAATTACCATTCCCCACGTTATCATTATCACGAACCTCTTTCACTCATGCACTAACGGGTAAAAATCAAGCCTGATTTGATCAAACTTCCGTTCACACTATTACATCTTTAATTCATTAATTTCCATTTTCTGGTGCATCGGAATTTCTAGCAACACCTTTCCCACACACACATTACATGGCCAAGTGTCGGTTTCTTCCTTATTTCCTGATTTACTTCAAATCACCACCTTAGTCATTCCTTGTTCACTTTCAAACTGTTGCCTTTCACGTGATAATCTTACTTTAACTCTATTTTACTTGTTGCTAGCAATACATCATCAGCATATAGAAGTTCTCAGGTCCTTCATGTGCCTCTCTTGTCACAACCTCTATACTATAAATAATGATGGATTAAAATAATATATTTTATTTTTCTTCCAATTTTAATGATTAAATGACATGCTACTTTGATCATTCATTTATAAAATACTATTCCTTATACTTGTATACATTGTGTTTAATACATGAAACCGAAGTCCTCAACATTATTGGCTATTTTTTCCATAATATTTCTTAATTTTAAAAAAACCGAGCCGGGCATCTTTAGTAAATATATTGGAACTGGGCCAGGCTGTGTATAAATTTGGACAGGCCGGGCCATATAAAAGTTAAATATAAACCTGGCCGGGCTTGAAAATTTTGCTATTTGCAGACTTCTAATGCGCCCACACCTTTACTTCAAAGTTCGCTATCACCACCATGTGTCCTTATAACAATTTGGGCATCTTCTTGCATTTTCTTTTACACCTAATTTTCTCAAAGCCCATTTAGTAACTTCAGGCGGGACCCTGTCAATTGCCTTCAAAAAATATTAAAATTTTTTAAAACATCTATCTCTATTTTTTTATTATGTAAGATGGAAATTTATTTATTTTCCTATCGGGGATATACTCGAATAGTCTTAAACGCAATACTTGTAATAATAACACCTATTCTCTTTTTTAAATATTCTTATTGACCTTAATTGTGCCTTTAAATAAAGATTTTTTTAAGCATGAATAAAGGAAGAATGCCAGTGTCATTTTTCCGATAGACTGGTAAATTTATTATGTAAGCATTATTTTTGTACATATGTCACTATTAGCCATTGTCATCATATAAGGAAAAAATGGGGCTACTCGAAATTTCCAAAATATCTTCAAAAGCTTTAGACTCTCCAATAAAATTCTATTAAATAAAGTTTTTCTCTGGTGTGTAAAATTGCTTGCGAAGGTAGCCTTTGTTAACGTTTCATCATATTTTAATTTTTTATTGGTACTATTAATTTTCAATTTTATACTAGATTGATTTCTTTTTTATTTTAGATTGGTCAGATTTTGTTACAATCGAATGTATACTTTGCAAAATATTGTCCCCGTGGAGCAGATGATTGTCATTTTGATTCAATTCTTCGCTAATATCATTATTTTTTGAATGTTGATTTTTAATATTATGTTTCAAATTCTTTAAAGTGTCTTTACTTTGGCAAGGAATATAGTACAACTGTTTAATTTGTTATTTCATTCTATGACAACAGGTGATACAGTAAAATAATATGTTAGAATATTTGATCATATTTGATGAAAAAGGTGGAACCAAGATTTATTTTAAAATATATAACCCCGCCAAAGGCCTTCAATGAACTTAAACCCTCTAATACTATTTATAAGTAAAAAAACCTCAATATCCCACTCCCCTACTAATAATTTATTAAAATTTCGATATCATTCATCGTCATATTTATATATTTTTATTAATAAAAATCAAGGTAAAGATTGGCACGATGAAATCCAGAGTCGCATTTTTCGAAGAATTATAGCCATTGTTTTTATAATCCACAATTAAAAACCCAAATCCATGAGCTTCTATCAAAAATATAATTACCTTTGTTTGTATATATATATCATCAAATGTTTCTTTATGTTTGACCAATATTTATTGATATACGATGAATCTACTATGATTATAAAATGTCTTCCAACACATACTTTTACGATTAGCATTTAAAGTTAGCACAATCATTGAACTTTGTTGAAAAATCACCTTTATCCATGTCACAATTTTTTTTTTATATTTATAAACCAAGCTTGTTTATGTAAATGCAATTTTAAAAAATTGCTTTTTATTTAATAAATGAATAATCAAAATTCAAGAATCGATTTCAAATATAAATAATCAACTCAAACCCATTATTGATTAAATTCCATAGTTAAACATCCGAAAAAATAATCTAGATACATGTATAGATTCTTCAGGCACGTACGCAGCGGGGGGTACAAGGGGACAAACCCCCCCCCCCCTCAAAAAAGCCAAAAAATGCAGATTCTGGATATATCTTTCAGAAATATTATTGTTTATATTAATTTATATTTGTTAATATTTATTCCTATCTCATATTAAATATATATTTAATTACATTTATTTATCACATTCATCTAATAAGTTATTTTATCAATTAATTTCGATTTCAAGTTTTCCTTGGCGTAATATTTACTTATTATTTTCAAATTTTTAGTGGCGTAATATTTATCTACCATTTTCAAATTTCTAGTCAAATAATAATTATATCTGAAATTGTCCAACAGGGAGAAAGAAATTGCAACCTTGTCCAACTAGATAGAGTCTCCACCATCAAGCAGTAAAAGCTTTTATGGAGTTAGAAGAGCGATTATTTGCTATTACAGAAATATCATAATGGCCTGAAAGAAATATTTCCTCAGAAGCAAGAAAATGATTGGATTCTATGCTTATTCCAAATTTTTTTTCTCATTAGAATGTATTATTTAATTATACAACTATTTTATGTATTACTTTTCAAAAACATAACACTGACTTGATTAAGACGATGAGAATAGCGGAGAGCATAATTAGAATTCAAGGAAATTAGGGCTAATGTTGATGGAGAATTTCATATTACATATGCAGAGTTGTTAAAAGATCGACGATCCTGGATTCGATCGCAAATTTGTCAATTTTACGAGATTTATGATTCTGACTTAAATTGAGGATCGAGATCATTTTGTTTAAAATTCGATCCCGATCTTTTTAAAAATTAATTTTTACTTAAAAAGCAATAAATAAAATAAAAATTTTGAAAATTAAATTAAAATATTATTTTAAAAAAATATATCTATCTTCATATTTTATCAACTTCCATTCCACCATTTATTTTATATATATATTTATTCATTTCCTAAATTTTACGAGATTTAGAGCTCTTACAAGTTATTTAATATAAATTTATAATATATTAATATTTATTTTAATAGGTAAATGTTAATTATAGATTTAGAAGATTCTATTGCTTCTACTATTGATGTAACAGCAGATATAAGTGAGAATGAGAATCTTTTACCATTTTTGAAATTACGTAAGTATTTTACTTTATGTGAAATGGATGAAAGCAACTCTTATAATATGATCAGCACCAAATGCCGTATTTGTAAGAAGAATATATCATCTTCCAAAATATCATCCTCGAACTTAAAGAGACATTTACAAGTAATTCTTTTAAATTTTTTTTATTTGATAATCTTAATGTCAACATGTTTAAATTTAATTTATTACATTCCTGAGTTGAGCAGGTCTTACAGAAATAGAATCTAGATACAGATTCTTTATAAAAAAAATGAATTATTAGATACAGTATAATTAATAAAATATTTGATGAAGAGTTAATCTTGGTTTTGTTATTTATATATAATAATTAGGCATTTATTTTTTAATATTATTATTATATTAGTTTAATTTTCAAAAGAAGAGTATTTATAATAAATGGAAGTGTAATAACTAATAATTAAGCCTTTATAGTGTATTTTGACTTTCTTTAATATAATTAAAACATCCAGTTCAATGTTATTTGTATTGAACTTAGCAATGTTTCACCAAAAGAAAAATAAATATCTATTCTATTATTTCTTTATTATAATATGTTAAATCTAATCAATTAGTATTATAGTTTCAGTTTGAGCTTGATTATATAATCCTCTTGACAACATTTTTAGGGCTTTTTTTAATAATATATTTTGAATTGAAAGTATTTTTTTTATCATTTGACTCAATCCATAAGTTATTAAATGCCAAAAAGCCTCATTATATTCATAATAGGAAAATACTTTATCAAAATCTTTGGCCCATATCATCTTGGGCAACTTTTAATAATGATAGAATATTGTAAACTTAAATTTTTAAGATAACCTACCCCCTTTTAACCACTAATAAAACATACTTTAATATGTTTAACAAAATTTGGTAAACCCTTAATCCATAGTTCTTAAATGCCAAAAAGGCTAATTATATTCATATATAGGAAAATATTTTATCAAAGCCCATATCATCTTGGACAACTTTTAATAATGATAGACAAAGACAATATTGTAAACTTAAAATTTAAAATAACCTATATGAACATTTTTTAACCATATATAAATTAAATAATATACTTTAATATGTTTAACAAAATTTGTGTTGAACCCTTTATCATTTTTTTGTTTATATAGGTTTTACATTCAGCCTGTACATTGTTTTTTTTTAACTTTAAATTTCCAAATAAAAATTTAAAAATGAAATTTGATTCAGGAGAAGTTATTTTCATCCAACTTTGATACATACTATTTTTTTCTTTTATAAAGAAAAAGCACAGTGAAATTAAAAATGAGATTACCAAACACCTCAACGAATTCTCTACACAAAAAATATATCACTGCAAAACCAAAGTGGTTCTGGTTGCAAATCCAGACAATCTAAATTAAATTTTAACAATCTAAACATTCCAGCTGTATCGAAAAAACAGCAGACAAGGTTATCATGGATTTTATTATTGACACCTTCCAACCACTGTCTCTGGTTTATGATCCTTCATTTGAAAAAATGATTAAAACTTTTTCTCCTGCGACAAAAATTATTTGTCGCCAAACACTGGGCAGCAGGATATCTACTTCCTTCTCTTATATGACGACAAATCTTATAAGAGATTTGTCTGAAGTTTCTTATGTATGCACCACTGCTGATTGTTGGAGTGGTCATCGAAGGTATATTATATTTATATGAATTTTATAATGTTTATTTTATTAGGGCTTTTATTGGACTTACTGCACATTGGCTGGATCCGTTAACCCTGAAGAGAAGGTCAGCCGCTTTGGCATTGAGGAGGATAATTGGGAGGCAAACATATGATGTTTTGGCCAACGAAATCATGGGCATCCACAAGTTCTATAAAATTCATAATAAGGTGGTGAAGATGGTGACTGGCAATGGAACCAACTTTGTTAAGGCATTTAAGTAATATTTATATTTAGCAAAAAATATTTAAATATTATTATTTTTTCTAGAGTTTTTGGAGAAAATGAAGAAGATAGTAGTGAGGATATGGAATTGATAAATTTGGATGACATATTATCCGTTGATGACCCAATTATTCCTACTATCAGCCTACCAAAACATCAACGTTGTTGTTGCCATAATCTTAACCTTATTGCAACAACAGATGCGGAGATGGCAGATAGTGATCTCAATTATAAACGAATATCTAGATCCACTTTTGCAAAATGTTTTGCTTTAGTTAATAAACAAAATATATCTTAAAAAATGGCGGATATTTTATTGGAGAAATTGGGAAGATATTTAATAGCTCCCAACAAGACAAGATGGAATTCTTATTACCAATCCATGAAATTAATAGATAAGATGCTTTCTGAAAAGTTTTCAGAAGTAGAACAAGTATGTGATCAAATTGAATTTGCAATGTTTAGGCAAGAGGAATGTTTTTTTGTTAAAGAGTATGCAACAGTAATACAATGATATTCTCTAAATAAATTATGGAACCTTTGGCGATCTCGTTAAAAATCTTGGAACGGGAGGATAATATGTAGCAGGGATATCTAACTCCCGTTCTATCGATATTGATAGATAAATTAACGAAATTTAGCTGCCTGCGGTATTGTCAGCCACTTGTAGATAGTGTTCTTAGAGATATTGATAAAAGGTAATATTTTTTTATGCAATTATTTTATATTATCAGATATCTGCAAAATATATTAAAAAATTGCAAAGATCTGGCAAATTTAGTATAAAATTTTTAACAGGCCAGTTCTACTAAACCTCTGATATCTAGTAAAATATTAATGGGCCTTTGAAGACATTAAAAATTTATTAGATTATTTGAATTTTAAGCTAATATTTTGATTAATATTCTTTGTAAATAAATTACAATGTTAATTTCTTTGTATATTAAGTATTAAGTTTACATTTAATCAATATTTATGATATGACCCAAATATAAATAAATACCATACAGATGATGTGCCAGACTTGACTGTAAAATTTAAAAGGGTTAAGTTTTGCAGATACTTGATTTGATTTATATGGATAAAATGAACACTTATTTAATAATAAATTAATTATCATTTCATAATATAGATTTCCTTAACTGTATGAAGACAATAACATTTTGGCAGCCATGATTCACCCTAACTTTAAACTTAATTGGCTTTATATTAATCTGCCACAAAATATGATGGTAAAAGAAAGATTAGTTGCCCATTTGGAAAATATGCAGGAACAATCATATGCGGATACCTCAAATGAATATATGGATAACATTGAGGCTTTTTTGGGGAAAATTACTGTACAAAATGCTAGTTCCGTTAAAAAATTTTTTTATTCAAATGATGATTCCATGAATATTTTTAATACTTATATTAATTTTAAAAAAATATTTATTGAATATAATACACCTTTGCCATCAAGCGCTCCAGTAAAGCTAAACATGTTCTAAATGAAAGACGCGGATGTTTAAATGATGATAATTTAGAAAAATTTTTATTATTAAAAGCTAATTTAAATATAAATAAATATATTATAATTGTTATATTTATTATTCAATTACAATAAATTTCTACCATATTTAATTTATTTTTATATTAGTTAATTTTGCATCGGTTATATTATATTATTATTCAATTACAATAAATTTATTACATATATTAGTTAATTTTGTATCGGTCAGAAATTTCCTTCAGAAATTTAAATAGAAAAAAAAGTCGATCCTGGATTTCGATCCTCTTTTTTTGAAAAGATCGTTTAACAAGCCTGTTTATATGTTATTGTTGAGTCAAAAGCAGAGCTATACGTGTTTAATATTTGTCTCCCTCGACTTGCAGCAAGGCAAGCTCATAGTTAAAACATTAATATAGGATCAGTAGAAGGTATATCTTAGATACAGATACATTTATAACCTAAATAAATGAATGGTTTTTAATTCATGCAACTAGTGTTGTTAAAACGCCGCAAGTCGCGACCCCGACCCAAAGCTCGGGTCGTTTTATTCGACTCCGACTCAATGTTTGGGTCGTTTTTTTCGACTTCGACCCGAGTTCAAGCCGAAAAAAACGACTTCGACCAAAAATATGGGTCGTTTTTTCGACTCCGACCCAAGTCCAAGCCGAAAAAAACGACCTCGACCCAAAATATGGGTCGTTTTTTACGACTCCGACTCAAAATTTGGGTCGTATTTTTCGACTCAAACTTGAAATTTGGGTCGTATTTTTCGACTCAAACTTGAAGTTTAGATCGTATTTTTCGACTCCAACTCAAAGTTTGAAAAAGTTCAAAAATAGCGATTATGACAATTGTCACCTATCTATGATACATCCTCACTGAATTTTTAATTTAACATGTTTAGAATATATATTTTTAGATATTTCCTTTAAAAAAATTTGAAAAAGTTCAAAAATAGCGATTATGACAATTGTCACCTATCTATGATACATCCTCACTGAATTTTTAATTTAACATGTTTAGAATATATAATTTTAGCAATTTGCTTTAAAAAAACTCAAAAAAGTTCAAAAATAGCGATTATGACAATTACCACTTATCTATGGTACATCATCACTGAAATTTTGATTTAACATGTCTATACAATATATATTTTTATCTATTTCATTTAAAAAAGTTCAAAAATAACCATCATGACAAATGGCACTTTTCTATGGTACATCTTCACTTAAAAATTTTAAAATATAACTGATGAATATTATAATTTAAAGAAGCTTTTAGTAACTTTCCCGCCGATAATATTAATATATACTAATTGTTATTTGACTTTTGGTCGAAAAAAATGATCTAGATATTGGGTTAGGGGTGAAAAAGCAACCCTAACTTTAAGTCGTCTTTATAAAAAAAGATCCATATTTTGGGTCGGATTGAATAAAACGACCCGATGTTTGAGTCTGAGTCAGAAAAACGACCCAAACTTTGAGTTGGAGTCGAAAAATACGATCTAAACTTCAAGTTTGAGTCGAAAAATATGACCCAAACTTCAAGTTTGAGTCGAAAAATACGACCCAAATTTCAAGTTTGAATCGAAAAATACAACCCAAATTTTGAGTCGGAGTCGTAAAAAACGACCCATATTTTGGGTCGAGGTCGTTTTTTTCGGCTTGGACTTGGGTCGGAGTCGAAAAAAACGACCCATATTTTGGGTCGAAGTCGTTTTTTTCGGCTTGAACTCGGGTCGAAGTCGTAAAAAACGAACAAAACTTTGAGTTGGAGTCGAAAAAAACGACCCAAAATTTGGGTGAGCTCTGTTCGAGCCGACTCGGCTAAGCCGATTAACAACACTACATGCAACACTTACCAATCTACAAATATTACTTCCACAAAAGCCTTCCCAACCTTTTTTCAGATGGTGATAGAAAAAAAATATTTGTTAGATTTTTATCATGAAGATGTTAAAGTATCTTATGATGCCTTATTAGCTAAATAACTATGTTTATAAGATTAACTATGGTTGATATAGTTCCAAAATATGCTATGATTAATAGGGTTTATATATATTAGCAAATCTTACCATTAGTAAACTAATAAGAGAACATTCTCTTTTTTAAGAAGAATAACAAAGCCCTGCAGAGGCACTATTTGCAGGGCACGACCCGTGTTTTTTTTTAAAAATTTTCAGGCAAGGCCCGGCTTTTTTTAAAATAAAATTTTCAGGCCCCGCCCGGATTTTTTAAAATAAATTATATTTATTTTTGATTTTTATTACTAATAATAACGATTTCAAATATAGGCTGTTTTAAAATATACAGCTCAGCTTGGGCTTGGCCCGGGCATATTTAAATAAATTAAAATACAGTCCGGGCCGGGCCTGCATGTCTTTGAAAAACATACCAAGGTACAACTTCTGAAAGTAGATTGAAAGGTTTGGATCTTTTGAATATTCATAGGCATTTGACGACAAGCAAGGATGAGATAATTGAAAAATTAGCTCAATCCCAACGAAGATTGGATTTTACATTGTAAAACACACAAAATACAATTATTCCTAAGAAATTTTTTGTGTATTAATTTATATTTCCAACATTTAAATTTTTTATACTTTATATATAAATTTTAAATACTTATAAAATTCAAATTTCTATTTTTCATTTAAGAGATTTTACATATTATTCACATTAATTTAAAATTGTGTATTAAATATAGTTATTAGTCCTAATAAATTTATGCTTGATATTTTAAAAATACAATACTATTTCTTAAAAAAAATTATTATCCCCCCCCCCCCTCCTATCAACCAAATTCCTGCGTACGCGCCTGAGATTCTTTATAAATAAATATTCGAAACAGATACTAATATCTTATTAAAATGATAAAAGATACTTGTATCTTTTGCTAAATGTATCTTAAATATAGGATACTTTTTATATCACTACTATTAATAAGTATAAAATACAATTTTTATTATTTATTAGTGAAAAACATAACATACCCCCATAATAAGAATGAATATTTATAATAATTAATAAAATATTTAGACGAGTTAATTATAATAATCAGGTATTTTAATATAGCCTTAGCACATCATAGCATAGACAGGGATTAAGGCTAGTATTTCTAATGGGAGTTAAAATATTGATTTGCATAAGATTATCTAAAATTTATTAAATCAAATCATTATTTATAAAAATAATAAATTTTTTAAATAATTTATCATTAAACCTTTGCCATTTCGGAGTATTTAACATTGTGTCAAAACTAAATAACCATATAATTGGAGCTGATAAATGTTTTGCAATATTATATTTTTTTAAAAAATCCTTATTGGTAGAATCAGCTCAATGTTGTAAATATTATTAAACTAGCATTTGTTTCATTAAAAGAAAAATAATCATTTTCTTTATTAGATTTTAAATCTATTGGTGTTATAGTTTGAGCTTGATTATATACTACCTGCATTTAACATTTCTTTTAATAGTATCTTTTGAAAGTATATTTTTTATCATCTGACAAATTATTAAGTTCCTAAAATATGAATGTGATAATGAAGTCTAAAAAGCATAAAATTTTCCCTAATCTTTTGCTTATAGCATCTTATGCAGCATTTAATAAAGGTAGACAATATTGCAAACTTGAATATCTAAGTGCACCTATAAGTCCCTTTAACCACAGATAGTATGGGCACTAATTCTTCATAAAATGCACTACTTTGAAATGGAATACAATGGATAAACATAATTATTAGCATAGATGTAGCCAGAGGGGGGAGGGCAAGGGGAAATCCCCCCCCCCCCCTTCAGAAATTTATCAATTTTTGAATATAATTTTAAGCTAATGAAAAATATCCCCCTTAATCTTCCCCCCACTCCCTGACCCTCAAAAATGTATGCATATATCTTAAAGAATAATTTGAAAGAAAGAATATAAAAGTTGATATTTTTTTATAAAACTATTCATCATAATTTATACATTTTCGGGAAAAAGCATTTTTACATGTAAAAAGTGAACCAAAATGTTTTTTAAGAAATGGAATATAAGCCTAAGATAAGTCTTAAGACAAAAGTTAAATGTATTATAATTATTAATAATAGATCCATAAAATTACTAAATAATATAATATATCAAATATAATTTTTTATAAAGTGAGTAATTTTAATTTATTTATCTTAATAAAAGTAAAATATAATTATAAAACTATTGATAAAATTAAATCATAAATTAAATCAAAAAATTAAAGCAATTTCGTAAATTTACAGCATATCTAATTTTATCAATTATCATATGACAATCAAGTAATTTTTACCAATATAGCGAATTATATATTTTACAGAAAACTATAAAATATTGATAAGGACATCAGAAAATATCTTTTAAAGACATTGTGGGATGAATAATATGAAAATTAATTTTTAATATCATTTTCTATTTAAAATAAATAGATGGCGTTAAATAATTGAATACAAATTGTGCTATATATTTTATATAAACTAATAAAAATATATTTCATATTTGTTTCAGGCTAATTTTTTTTTATTAAAATTAACCTCCTATCTTGTAAAAATATTTTATGACTATATATAGACTAAGGTAACCTGGCCGAAGGTCTGCCCAAATGGGGTATGGGGCGAAGGCCCCAGCAATTTTTTAATTCCCCCCCTCCTTAGGAAAATTTTGGCTACACCTATGATTATTAGTATTTTTAAATATTCAATAAATAACATTAAGATAGATTTAAAAAAAAATTTTATCACAGGGTCTCGCGGGGAGACTAGATCAGAAAAAAAATTATTTTGTAATTTTTGACCTCGCCTAGACTGACTATTCATTTATTAAACAAGGACCTTATGAAATTCACGTTTTATTGCTCTTTCTAAGAGTTAAAATATTGATATCTGTCGTTAATTTGACGCTATAAATTAAAATGTGTTCGCAAATGTCATCACAAGCAAGTTTTTTTAATAATTTAAATTTTTATCGTAAGCTTAATTGTTTTTGGTGCTTTATTGGGTTATTATTATGCATTTATACTTTACACGTCGAATATTCTATTGAAAACCAGCGGAATTACCAGCCCTTTTGTGAAATAAACCCAAATATAAATTGTAGTCATGTTTTTATGTCCAAGTTTAATATGATTTTATATGATTTCTATTTAAGTTTACTTAAATTTGTTATTTAAATTAAATCTTATACATATAATAACATTAATTTATTATATTATAGATGGAGTAAGAGTTTTGGACTTTTGCAAGATATTTTAGGAGAACAACATTGGCTTATCCTACCAAATCCTATTTTTGCTATTGCATTTTACCTATTTCAATTGGTTTTATGTAAGTATTAAAACCATAATTATTATTTCAAAATTAAACATTTGCTTTTCTATATTTAGGTGAGTTTGTTAATATTAAAACTGCCTTTCTACAATTATTCCTATCCATTTTGGCTAATTTAGCAACAGTTTGGTTAGCTTACATTTTGATTCAACTTTCTAATGTTTGCCTTGTATGTGTTAGTAGTTATCTTGTTAATTTAATATTACTTTATATACATATTAAGAAATATTGCATATTTAAAAATATTAAAATTGTTAAATCCACCATCGGTACTAGTTTTCCAAGTTCCTCAAATTATAGAAACAAGAGGGATTGATGACATATATTTCCAATCTTTTCTATTTATCTATTGATAAATATTATAATTACATGTTTGCTCAAAAAAAATTGTTTTAAATTTACTTGTATATATATATATATATATAAATTTATACACATTTTTAATAAACTATTGTTTTTCTTGGATTTTCTCAATTTTTTTATTACCTTTATTAGAGTTCCGTAGGCTGGGCCATGCTGGCAGTAAGTAGCATCAATAAAATATAGGACAGGATTGGTCTATGGCTTAAAAAATATTGATGTTATATGTTGTATTTCCTTCCCCTTCTATTTTTTTAGATTGATCATAATTATAAAATGAATTTAGTAAATAAACATTTTTTAAAAAAATCATGAGATGCCTGGTGGGAAATATTTACTATGGATTTTCATATCATATGTTAATAAAATAGTAATCATCATTAAATTATCAAGGTTATTGATTTTTATTTAATGCATTACTCACTATCATTAATTATATAAATCTCATTTACACTTTATTTTGAAAGTTGCTATGTTACCTCATTAAAAGATGCCAAAATTTTAAAGTATTTTAGTGAAAAAGCATAGTTTATTAATAGGTTAGGAAAAATTATTTTAGAAAAAAAAATCACAATATGATATTAATGACAATTTTTTAGAATTGGCTTGTCTTTAAGCAAAGTTATCAAAAAATAAAATATTTTCACTCATTAAAATTTATAGTAAGAACATAATGCAATGCATTATATCATCCTAATAATTTTAATTCAGATTCAGAATTTGATGAAAAAAAATTAAACATTGAAAACTAAAACAGATCTACTTTAAAAGTTTATTCAAAAATCTCTCTTCCTAAAAAAAATGTTCAGCTTTTATATAAGAAAATTTTAGTTTATTAATTAAGACCATTTTGTTTTATTTTAAATATTTAATTTATTTAAGCAATTTTAATACTATACAACTTTAATATTGGTGTATATTCTAAATTACATTTTTGAAGAGAATAATTTTTGTAAAAAAGTTTGAAATAGAATATTTATTAACAGTAATAATCAAGTTTGAATTTAGCTGCCTAATAACTGTTCCTTCCATGCAGTATTATAAATCTGCATATAAGATATCCCTATATAAAAAGGCAATCTTGATTTTAATGCTTTTGGATCAATATAGGACAAAAACCCATAGAATATAAACCATTATAACAATGTCTTAAAATAAATTAAATTCAACATAAACAACTTAAAATTTTTAATAAATTAAACAAATAGTGCAACTGAGACTGACATACATATTGTTATATTCAAAGACAAATTTCAGTAAATTCCTAGGAAGATTTGACCCAATCAGCAAAAAAATCTTTTCATTAGATTGGATTTGGAGTGGTTCATTCCAAACTTGGAATTGATTGCATCTTCTTTTATTAAGAATTTTTTTTTAAAGATTATCGCATTTTTTCTTTTTTAAATTCTATAAAAAAAATTTGAAATCGTATATTTAATTTTTGAAATTTTATAGAATTATATTTTGGTCATGTTTTTATTTTTCTTTTAAAATGTCTTGTTTACAGGGTTGTTGCTAGCCTTTACAATTTCAAGGGGCTCAACTAAAAATTTTTTTACGGAGGACAAAGCCACCAATACCCCCAATTTGCGGGCCTTCAGCCCACTTTTATATTCATATAATATACTTTTTTTAAATTTGCTAACTCTAAACATTTATTCTGAATTTCATATTTTGTCATTTATTATATTTTGCATGCAAAATAAAGTAATATCAATCATTGACTATCATATAAATACAAAACATATCTAAAAATAATTTTTTTAATACAAAATCTATTTATTACAGTATAAAATATTTTTGATGGTTGATATAAAAAAATGTCTAAAGAATTACAAGTGATAAAAAGGGTTAATTAATTCATATATATGCCTCAATTGATAATGGTTTTTAAAAACCACATAAGGCTATATAATTCTTAGCAACTTACATTGACAAAAGGTCACAAAACTATTATAACTGTTACCATTTTAGACAATGTTTTATAGAATGGACTAATAAGAAAAAATTTATAGGCTTTACCAAATTAACAATTCTTGAATAGAATATAACCAACCAACCCAAATCATAAAACTATATGGTAGTTAGAGCTTCCTCTTAGATGACATGATGGAAGCTAGAGAGGTAATCGAGAAAATTATTGAGATATTAAATTTCTAAAGGATTATCTTCCATTTTTAATGATATATAAACGACTACACAGTTGGCCATTTTTGCATATCTAAAATATGCAATCATATGCTCTCAGCAGCAGTAGTAATAATTAGTGTTGTTAATTTGCTTGGTCGTAAAATTTACGACCCAATTTTGTGCTCATGCCTGCTCTGAGCACGAACCCTGAGCACAGACCCAGGGACCCGGCACAAAAACCCATTTATTTTTAACTTTTTTTTTGAACTTAGAAAAGTATACTTAAGATTTATTCATTAAAAGAACAAGCGTTCCCTCTCGGTCTCGATAGGCTAATAGGGCTAGGTGTGTTAATTATATACTGTAGTCTACTAGTAATCATAATTATTATTCTAGATGGGTGGGTCCAAGAGGTTATGAATATTTTTAACAACATGATGATATTGATATTATGGGCGTCAAATAAAAGGTGTTTTAATTAAATTTTGACTTTAACACTTATTATTAATATTCTAATTAGGCGGGTACTAGGTCTTAAGAGGTCAGAGATATTTTTAACAATGGAAAATATTGATATGGGCGTCAAATAAAAGGGAATTTAATTATATCTTGATTGTAATCTAAATTATTATTCAAAGTGGGCGGGTCTAGGAGGGCACAGGAATATTTTTAACAATGCACTATTTATCCGCAATTTGAAAATTTGACCTGAAAACCCTGTTCACATTATTTAATAAATATATATTTTATTATATCATATTTGATATTCCCGGCACAAAAACCCATTTATTTTTTTCCCCAAAATTATATATAAAATTTATTCATTAGGAGATCAGGCGTTCCCTCTCTACTCTGTACTGTAGGCTAAGGGCTTAGAAGGGGCAGGAATATTTTTATCCAAAATAATAATATAGGTAGTCCTGAGGAGTCAGGAATATTATTATCAAAGCAAAATATTGACTAACAAAACTGATTATGACTTACGATGAACTATATTGTGTTTATGAATATATTTTAACATTTTATTTTTAGTAAATTTACCAACCAAGGGCATCCTATAAATAATAGGATTTCTTTGATTTCCTTTTAAAAAGACCTGTTGTTGTAAATTTAACTAGAATATAATTTAAATAATTATTAAAAAATAAGAATATATTTTTAATATTTCTACTACAATGAAACGATACACATGTTTAAATATACTATAAAAGGGGGTAAACAAAATAAGCAAAATAAGATTTTATTTTTAATAGAATAAGATTGAAATTAAATATGGACAAGCAATTAATTAAGAAGATTAATATAGTTGATTAATCCAGGGTTTTACAAAAATCTTCAAATAAAAATTTGAAGATTTTTTTCGCCCAAAATTTTGAGGAAAAAATCTTTGAAGATCAATTTTTTGCGAAGATTTTTTCGCTAAAAAAAATTTTGAGCTTGCTCAAAGAAGATTTTTGAGCAAAATAAAAAATATTTTTTGTAAAAAAATCTTCTATAATTTTGAGAAAATATTTTGAGAATTTTATAATAAAATAAAATCTTTTGTAAGGAAATCTTTATTAAAATATTTTTGAAATTTTGATCTTAAAATTTTTTGGTAAATTCTTTAAAAATAAAATTTTTGATATATATTATTTTATTATGTTAATGAAAATATTTTTTTTGAATAGGTTGTAAATGTGAGAATTGGTCATAATACCGACTGCATTTTTTTTAATATTTGGAATAAGTAATAATGATTATTTTAAAAATGTAATGTCATAATTTTAATGTTTTATATTTAATGTAAACTATAAAAGTGACAATTGTCATAATACTCATCTCAGAACCTTTAAAAATAATTATAATTAAAAAAGGCTAGTTGAGCATGTTTTGAGATGGTTTCAGTGATTGTAAAGCATATAAAGGTGACAATTGTCATAATACTTATTTCACATATGTTTTAATTGGAAATAGAGAAAAATGATTATTTCAAACATGAATTAATATAATGTGTAAACTATAAAAGTGACAATTGTCATAATATTCATAACAGAACCTATAAAAATAATTTTATTTTTAGGTATTAAATAGGCGAGAAAAAATTTTTTGAACATGTTTCGAGATGGTTTTAATGATATTGTCATAATCGTTATTTTTGAACTTTTTTGAATTTTTTTGAAGCAACAGAGTAAAATAATAAATTGTAAACATGTTAAATTGAAATTTAAATGTGGATGTACCATAGAAAAGTGACAATTGTCATAATCGTTATTTTTAATCTTTTTTGAATTTTTTTGAAGCAAAAGGGTAAAATTATATATTGTAAACATGTTAAATAAAAATTTCAGTGAAGATGTACCATAGAAATGTGACAATTATCATAATTGTTATCTTTGAACTTTTTTGAATTTTTTTATAAGCAAATAGGTAAAAATATATATTGTAAACCTGTTAAATTAAAATTTCAGTGATGTACCATAGAAAAGTGACAATTGTCATAATCGTTATTTTTAATCTTTTTTGATTTTTTTTGAAGAAATTATATATTGTAAACTTATTAAATTAAAATTTCACTGAAGATCTACCATAGAAAAGTAAAATTGTCTTAATCGTCATTTTTAATCTTTTTTAAATTTTTTTGAACTTACAGGGTAAAATAATAAATTGTAAACTTGTTAAATTTAAATGTGGATGTACCATAGATAAGTGACAATTGTCATAATGGCCATTTTTAATCTTTTTGGAATTTTTTTGAAGCAAAAGGGTAAAATAATAAATTATAAACATGTAAAATTAAAATTTAAATGAGGATGTACTATAGAAATGTGACAATTGTCATAAACGTTTATTTTAATCTTTTTTGAATTTTTTTTAAGCAAAAGGGTAAAACTATATATT